GCTGGAGGGTGGGATCTCTTGGCAAGGAGAAGTGGTGCCTGTTCATGTGAGCACAGCCAAAGGCAGAGATGGAGACAGAAGGAGCCTGAGTGACGGGAGATGAGCAGGAGGGCGGGGAGAGGTGGGGCAGAGGGAGGCCAGGTACTTTTTTAGGACCTTGTCCCTGGGAGCGCCATCCGGCCTCCTCACACTTACTTCGGGTCTCCTCCGGCCTTCAAACCTACCCACATCACTCACAAACATTTACTGTCCCGTTGCCTCCCAAAGACATCCCTTACGACAAGAATTATTTTTTAAGAAAAAGCAAACAAAAGTTCCATCAAGTTGGTCAGCACATCAAAAACCAGTCAGAGCAATCTGGGGTGCTCTGCCATGTCGGCCCCCTCTGGGCCGAGGGCGCTGACAGTCTGAGGCTCACGCTGGACGTCTGGGAGTGAGGGTTCTTTCCACTTAGACCACTGTCCTCACCGGGCACGTGGCTTTCTCTGCACGGATCGGTTCAGTCTGCGCCAGACCATGTAAACCTCACCAGGTCTCCTCATGCTGCTGGCTTCGCAGACCAGGGGACAAGCAGACGCTCGGCCGCTAGCTCTCGGTGACCACCCACCCAAAGGGCTGACTGCCCCCGGTGGTTCAGTGTCTGTGGAAATTGGCAGCATGGGCCAGAGTGCGAGGGCCCCTTAGCCTGTGAGCGGCATGGCAGCTGCACCCACAACACATCAGTGAGCCCGTTTCCCTCTCTTCTCCACAAACCTCAGAATCATTCTCTAGGTCTCTTCCATTTCACAGCCAGGCTCCCCCCAAGCACTCTACTTTCTCACTTGCCATTCATTTTTCATTTTCCCATCCCCACCATGCGACTGAGACGGCTCAGCAAGGAGCGTGAGGGTCTTTTTAGCGGGTGCCATGCACGGCACTCTTGAAGGACTTCACCTGGGCTCGGCGCGGTCCCTCCCTGGGTTTTCATGACAGGCTCCCCACGGGGGTGCTCTCCCTTGCAGTCTGATCCCTTCTTAGGCCCAACCTTCCATTAGGGCCAGCCTCGGTCCATGCCCGTGTCTTTCCCCTTTCAAACTCCACACCCTCATGCTCCTGACACGGCTCCCACAGCCTTTTCAGATTCTTTCCCGTTCTCATTGCTGTCTAACCTTCTCCAAGCATGGCACCCCAGAGGGTGCCTATTGCAGGCGAGGTCCAGCTAAGGCAGAGGACTCAAGTAGATAAGCTCCCCCCTGGCATCCCCCTCCCTGGGCTCAGACTTGAGGACGGCCAGGGCCCCACAGTGACTTCATTGGCTTGGCCTTGCCCCTTTCTCTCCATGTCATTGTGCCACCTCCATCTTGACATCTAGCAAGCTATGGCCTCCATCATCCCAAGAGCCCAGCCAGGCTGGAGCGGTCATGGGGCGGGGGGGGGGGGGGGGGGGGGAATTCAAGAGGAAGCTCCCTCTATCAACGCTGACTGACTGCCTGGGGGCCTGAAGGCCAGGCCCACACAGCCAGGATGGCTCAGAAGGAACTTGAAATTCGCACACCTTCCTCTTCTCTCTCTCTCTCTCTCTATCTCCCTCCTCTCTCCCCTCCTCTCACCTTCTATCTGTCTCTTCTCTCTCTCCTCTCTCTCTGTCTCCCTCCTTCTCTCCTCCCCTTCTCTCCTTTCTCCTCTCACCTTCTATCTCTGTCTCTTCTCTCCCTCCTCTCTCTCTCTCTCATCCCTTCTACCTCTGTTGTCTCTCTTCTTTCTCTCGCTATCTCCCTCCTCTCCTCTCACCTTCTGTCTCTTCCCTCCCCCTCTCTCTCTCACCCCTTCTGTCTCTGTCGAATCTACTCTTCTGTCTCTCCCTCTCTCTCCCACACACACTCCTCACCCCACTGCCTTCTCAGCCTCATTTAAGCCTTGATTTGGAACAACTCTGAACAGGACAGGGTTAGGGACAGAGCTGCTGGCACTCAGAGGGAGCCCCTGTCTGCTAAAGGCCAGCTATGCCATGGCCCTGGCCTACCAGTTGGGCCCCACTCAAAAGGAGCCTAAGTCTGGTTGGAACTGGAGTTCTCTTACTGCTTCCTTTTCATGCCAACATGATCCCCATTTTACAGGGAAGAAAACAGGCTTGGGAAGGTTTAAGGGACTTGCCCAGGGTCACACATTTAGCAGGGTCTGGGGCAGGTTAAGGCTGCTGTTCTGGGCAGACAGAAGAGTTAGGAATGACTAAAGAAAGAACACAGAACTGTCAATCCTTCTCTCGCTTCTGTTGGCCAACCTCTGGGCTAATGACGAACACGGCAGTTTGTCTTCATTAGTTCCTCTGCCTTTCAAAGGATGAAATGATTCTGTAGCCAAGGTAAGACTCAATCACCTGCTTTGTTACTGGCAGAGAGAGAAAGCAGGGGGCAAGGGAGGGAAGAGGGTAGGAGGAGAGAGGAAGGGGAGGAGAGGAAATACAGAGAGACAGCGAGAGATAGAGTGATAGAGAAAGACAGAGACAGTGGGAGAGACAGAGGCAGACAGCGGCATAGAAGGAGACAGAGCGTGACAGAGTGACAAAGACAGAGGCAATGATAGAGAGCCAGAGATAGAGTCAGAGAAAGTGAGAGCAACAATGGCAGAGCCAGTGACAGAGACGGCCAGAGTGACAAAGAGCACCACAAGAGATTTAGGCACACTCCCGCCGAGGTCTGCTGCTCAAAGCCGCTCCTGACCTACTCACCTAATCCCTTCTGTGGATTCTGCCTTATTGACCTTTCTGGCTCCTGGACCAGACTTGCATTACAAGACTTGAATGGACAGCGCCATCTTTGTGTGTGTGTGTGTGTGTGTGGGGGGCAATGGAGTGAAGTGTGGCCAGATTTGAACTCAGGTCTTCCTGAGTCCTGGGCTGGCTCTATCCACTGCACCATCAAGCTGCCCCTGGACAGGCACCATCTTGTCCATCTCCTTGGCCAGAGTCTCATGACACCTGTAAGTATGCAACAGGTTTTCCTGAAGAGCACATCTGGCTGCCTCACTCCCCTAACTCCCATCAATCCCAGGGGATCCCTGCTGCCTCCCTACTGGGCTGCTCAAGTTCTCCACCAATGTCCCTCACTCCCCACCCCCCTGCACTAGACAGTCAGCCAGTGGTCACTGTGATCTGGGGCCCAAGAGTCTGGCCTTCTTATGGTCTTTGCAGGAGCTCACTGATGTCTGAGGACTCCTGCTGTATCTGTCCCCTGTACCTTGCCTTCTCCTACACTTCTTGATGAGATGCTCAAGGGAACTACTGGGGCTACTACCCCTTTTTAAGTGACACCACAAAAACTAAAACGAGAGGGGCCCCTTCCGGGGGCCATCAGACTTCACGGCTGAGAGAAAGCCCAATGGCCACACAGGGTGTGATGATCTGCTCAAAGGCCCGGGACCAGCCTGTGCGGACTTTCCAAGGCCAGTAGGGCAGGGGCAGGGGCAGGGTAGGACTGTGGTGTGGCGAGAAGTGTCCTTCAGGACTCTGCCTTTGGCAGCGCCATGGAGGACACCCTGGATAAAGGGTGGAGAGACGAGCAACTGCTCAGAAGTGTGCCCTGGAGAAGAAACTGAGGCAAATGCCCCTTGGGGAAGGGGAGATCGCTGTGAAAGGCTCAAGAGGAGACAAGAGAGGAGTCTCAGGGTGAGCGTGGGAGCTGGACTGGCGGGGCTTAGTGCCTGCTACTTTAGGCCTCTCTCCTTTAAGTCATGACAGGTGAGTCTAAGACCAGGCTAACCGCCCACTCATCCAAGTCAAGACCTTTGCAGGTCTGAGGACCCATCTCTTACAAAACATTCTGAGAACTCGTTCAATATAAATGGTCTCCTTTGTAATCCTATGCATTTTCATTTAGGTATTTAAAAGGACACAGAAAAGGTGAAGATGCCCTAAGCCAACTAGCTTTTCTGACCACACCCCAGAAAGGGACTGCTCTTTCCTGGCTCTGCACTAGGCACTGGGGATAAAGGGCAGAAGCGAGAAACACACAGAAGAATAAAGAGAAAAGACAAAGCTATGGGGGTGAGGGGCATCAGGAAGGGTCTTGGGTGGGAGAAGCCTTAAAGACAAGGGCGACCTCAACAGGCAGAAGTGCAGAAGCAGAGCATTCCAGACTGGGGCATTGGCATCGCCGTATGTGGGGAAGGGCAAGCCGGCAGAGTGGGTGAGGGAGACTGTGACACCAGAGTCCCGGGAGAGCTTGGGGAGGCCCTTCCATGTCCCACAGGGGTTTGTGGTTTATACTTGAAGAAACAGGGGCCACTGATGCTTCCTAAGCAGGTCAGATCCAAATGTCAGGAACCTATCTTGGCAGCTTGGTAGAGAGCCTTGAGACAGTGGGAGCAATGGGGAGGCCAGAGGTCATGAGGAATCAGGTGTCAATGAGGAGGAGCTGGCCTGCAAGCCACTGCGTCCACACTATCTGTGGCGTCTGGAAGCTAACAGGGGCCTTCTGCAGGGGAGGGGCTCTTGGAGGGAGAGCAGGACTGCCCCTTCAGTCTGCCTCAGAAGCAGCATTTCCCAAACTTGTCGGGCTGAGCCCAACCAAGAGTGTTGCTCCACGGGGTCCCCAGGGAAGAGACGGTGGAGAAGCAAAACTGAGGATGCCCACAGTTGGGGAGTCACCATCGTAGGAGCCGGGGGCGCTCCTTCCAAGTGCCTCCCCCTGTCTATCCTGGGCCCCATGCGTGGACCTTCACGGCCTTTCTGAAGGAACACACAGTCCATGCCCACCCCAGGCTGTGTTCTCATGCCTGACTAACTACCCAAGGCAAGGGACCTTCCCCTCCTCTTCCTGAAGGCAGACTGGGGATGGGGGTGACATGATTCCCAGCCTCATCACATCAAACAAATTTCTGGCAACAGCCAAGAAAGATCTGTTCCTGTGTACCCTTAGTGGAGAGAGGCTGGGAAGCCCAGTGGGCTGGGATTTTGTGCAGGGCTAAATCCTGAACCAAGGAGTTCTCCCTCCAGGATGCTGCCAAAGAAACACACACACAAATCAGCTGGTTTGTGTCCCTTTAATAAACACACTTGCATAGTTATTTGACAGATAGGAAAAATCCAAAGAAAACAAATGGCCTCATGCCCAAGCATGCCCAGCATTCGCGCAGTGCCCCCAACAAGACGCCAGCCTGACTGATGGCGCCTCACAGTGCTTGGCAACAATTCCATAACGCATGACATCACAGCAGCGAGAGCAGCACTCCTTAGGGGACCCCCACCCCCACAAGGGAGAGCATCTGGATTTTCGGTTAAAGATTCCTATTTACACGTACTTAGACTTTGGTAAAAACCACTTTTCAGTAACTTGGCAAGGACAGCTTTGAGCCTACCAGCTGCTCCTCCCAGGCTCCCACACACTTGCGTCAAACTAACCGAAACCAGCAGCATGTCAAGGCCGTCCTGCCCGGGCTGAGCATCATGATTAAGGTAAAGCTCCAGGAGAGAGGACAGAAGTCGCCCCACCCGCCGGTCCCTGCTGCCCTGTGCCTGGTAAGACGACATCCCTGAGGACCCTCGGCCAGGAAGTCAACAGGGCAGCATCTGGGAGATCTGGAGGGCGAGGCCTGGCTCAGGACACAGGGCCTTCCCCTGACTCTCCTGGACATTCCAACTCGGGGGATGGCAGGAGGACGGCCAGATGACCAGGGGCTTTCTCTGCTTCCCACATCATTCATTCTGCATTCTCCATGTTTACCCAAGGAGAAGCCACAAGATTCTGGCTATAAAAAGACAGCCTAAAATCATTTAGTAGCAAACATCACAGGGGGCCAATTCTATGGCCAGGAAGACAAGATGACCCAGAGGCCAGAGTCCTGTCAAATCCTGAGGATAATGAGCAGTGACCCAAACCTCAATTGTCTGTGTCCAGATCAGCCCCAACTGCCAAGATCCCCAGAAGCTAAGCCGCTGTCTGAACTCCAGGGAAGCATGGCTTCAAAGATGAGTTCAGAAAGGAGGAAGGAGAGGGTACCTTAGGACCCCCTGCCCCTCACCTCCCGGCAGCCTCTGGGGATACTGGGTAGCTCTCCCCTCAACAACCAGCCCGAGTCACGTGTCCATGCCGCCGCTCCCCTGCACCAGGCACATGGAGAAAGGCTCTCGAGGAGCCGAGGTGCTCATTTCCCAGAACTCTCCCTGGCTGGGCTCAGCGCGCACCAGGTTAGACCATTCTCCAGTACACCATGCTCGTGACTCGGGCTGCCCAGCAGGATCAGCTCAAGTCCTGTCCACGGCACGGAGGCACAATCCAATAACTATTGCACCAGTGAGGCTTAGGAGCTAGGTTAGGATGCTGGGGAGGACTTTTCTTTGGAGAAAATTCACTTTTGGGATTCCATGGACACTCCTCCTGATAAGGCCTTGACATTCATAGAGGTGATTGCACAGTCATTTGTAAACATTATAAAATTGCATAAACACCATTTATTAAGCTTTCCAATACAGTTAAACGCTTTGATGGCCAGAAAGTCCGCTGAGCCAGCAGGACAGCTAGCCGCCTTTGGGATGCCTTCCCTTCATGAACAAGTAGCGCGAACCGTGAGACCTGAGCGAAGGCGCAGCGAGCAGCTTCCACCTTGCGTCCCTCCTCCCCGCCCGCTGGACCCCGAGCCGGCCCGAGAAGGGGACCCGTCACAAGCCGTCGACCAAAATCTGGGCCGATCAGCACATGTCACACTAAGAGATCGTGGCCAAGCGAATACGCTGGCTGCCACTCGTGACCCTCTGGATTCTACATGCCTGATTTCAGAACTGGAAGGACCTCGGAGGCCACCCAAGGTTAACAAGGCCGAGCACGGACACCCCACCACTGCTGGCCACGTTCTCGGGAAGGCCTCTGGGCACACAGCCACAGCTCATGAGAAGGAAGGAGGTGGGCACAGGGCCAGCGTCCCGCCCCCCCACCAAGCCCACCACCATTTCAAAGGGAGACGCCGGCCAGCACATTCGTCGGTCACTAACGCTTGAGGAAAAGCATAGCCGTCACAGCCCATACAAAAGAGCAAGCAGAAAGGGGGCAGATAGTGGGTCTTTGTGCGTCAGGGTTCCTGCCTTCGGAGGCAGGGAGACTCAAGAGGCTAGCGGTCAGTGACCTCCTGGGCCAGACAGGAAGGGAGAAGCAAGAGCAGGACCAGCAGTGAGAGTCACACAAAGACCCACTATCCTTCAAAGCTTTCCCCAGAACCACGAAATTTAAGTGGGACCCCTCCGCCCAGAGCCCCAGGTGGCTAACGTCCGCCCGCGGTGAAGGCCTCTTAGGGGAGGAGCCGAGCGGCCGGGGCAGCTGCCCAGCCTCCACGCTAGAGCCAGACTGGGAGGATAGTGGGTCTCTGAGGAACTTTCACGCTGGAAGACAATAGTGCATCCTAAAAGAAAACAGACGAGGAATAAGTGAGCAGCGCTGTGCAGACACGCAGCAGGCTCACAGCACCCATGAGGGAGTGGAGCTGCCCGGGAGCCCCACCCCCACTCACTTCTCTGGTGCAAACCTCAGGCCTTCCTCCAGCCCCACGGCCCAGACTCCTCACTACTGACCCTGTCTGAGCATCCACGTTTACAGGTGGTCTCCCCCAACAGACAGGCAGGGAACCCCCCAGGGCCTGTGCACAGTCGGAGCTCAGAAGTGTTCACTGACTGTCTGCCTACAAAAATGATCAGGCACGCCTACAGCGAGGGAGAACTGAGAATTCTAGTCACGGAAAAGCCAAGGCCACGCTCTCCTGTCTGCGCCGCACAAGGGCGCTAGGCATCACAAGTGACCCCAAATGCCCACTCACTGGGGAACCAGTCACAGACGTAACAGGAAGGGGACCGTCCACTATGTGCATGGCTCTCCTTCCCTCAACTTAGGACCCAGCAGGACGAGGGCCAAGGGGTCAGCACACATCCTGACCCTCCTTCATTCTGGTCCCCTCAGCTGATCTGGCTGCCCCATCCCTCTGAGGGGTGTGGCTGGAGCCATTCAGCAGGTGGTCCCATCTGGGGTCCTGGGGGCACCGCTGGCAGCCCTCTGGAATGGGGAGGGGGCAGAATCTGCTGCCAAGGACTCAGGAGAGGGAAGCCCGGGGGCCAAGCTACAGACAGGCTGCTGAGCACAGGAACCTTGGGGACAGCCACGCACGCCAAGGATGGGGGGTGGCCCCCAGGTCATCCTACCTACTTTCATTTTATGCCTTTAAAAACATGATTTAGGAAGGCGCTCCTCCCACAGACTGCCCCATGGAGGTCAGAGTCCTGCTACACAACCAGGACCGGCCTTCTCCCGGCCCACAGATCACGAAAAGTGAACCATGTGGCCGCGGCCTCATGGAGGTAGGGACCATCAGCCCCACCAGTCACACAGAACAGCGACGGGATGAAAACTAAATTCAGAGAATCAAGGGGCCGAGCGTCCACAGAGCATTGCTCATCTGGGTGGAGATGAGTCCATTTGGGATCAAATGGCCTAGTCATAGCATGGCGACCAGAGTGGCACAAGGTGGGTGGGCTTGGGGCAGATTCGTCCACTGTTGACGGCTGCCTCCCTCCTCCTTCCCTCTGCCTCTCTCTCTCCTCTACCGTCTCTTCTGTCTCCCTCCCTCTTTCTTTCTCTTTCTTCTGTATCTCTACATCCTTTTTTCCTCCACCCTCTCCTCTCTCCCTCCTTCTTTTTCTCCCTTCCCTCTCTTTCCTTCCTCTCCCCATCTCCTTTACCCTCTCCTGTCTCTGTCTCTCTTTCCCTCCCTCTCTACAGCCTTCTCTCCTCCACACTCTCCTCTTTCTGTCTCTTTCTTTCTCTCTCCTTCCTTCCTCTCCCCACCTCCTTCTCTCCTTCACCCTCTCCTCTCTCCGTCTGTTTCTCCTCTCTTTCTCTCTCCTTTCTTCTCTCCCTCTCTCTCCTTCCTCTCCCCACCTCCTTCTCTCCACCCCCTCTTCTCTCTTTATCACTTTCTCCCTTCCTCCCTTTTTCTCTTTCCTCTCTCTCTACATCCTTCTCTCCTCCACCCTCTCCTCTCTCTCTTTCTCCCTTCCTTTCTCGTTCCTCTCCCTCTCTCCCTTCTTCTCTTCTTCACCCTCTCTTCTCTCTTTCTGTCTGTCTCTCCTCTCTCTTTCTTTCTCCCTCCCTCCCTCTCATCAGGGACACGGCAGGAGATGCTTGCTGGAAGTCTCAGGGAGGGAGACACACTTTGTCACTGCCTGGGGACTGAGCTTTCACATTATTCATTCCAGGTCCTGCCTGGACAATCTAAGGACAAGCCAGAGCCCCAAAGTGGCCGCGTGGGGACACCCAGGGAAGCTAGGAAAGGCTTGGGCAGGGCCCAGGTGCCGTTCTCCAGGAGGCGGGACAGGAAGCTGCCAAAGGGCCACAGGACACCTGCTCCCCAGCTACCATACGGACGCCAAGCCTGCGTCCGGGCCCGTGATGGACACACAACGTCAAGCAACGAGACCGGGGAGCAAATGAGCCACGGGCCTAGATGGGACCCCCCACCACCCCGGCCCTCGCGCCGGACAGACGCTACTCACACTGTGTGCTTGGGTCTGAGTCTGTGGTCATCTTCACATAGTTGGCAGGAAAGAGGCCGGTCACCCCGCCGATCTCTCCGTGCCACCAGGCAGCATCATCTTTGTTCAAGACGGTGATCAGCTGTCCCTTGGAGAAGTTCAGTTCATCCTCGTTGTTGGCGGCATAGTCATACATCGCTATGACCTGGCACGCTGCGAGGGAGACACCCAAGAGTCAGGGGGCGTGAGCGCGGGTGTCTGCCTCCTCCCCCCGCCTGCATCTGGTGACTGGAAGCTCCCTGGAGGCAGGCTCTGGCTTTGCCTTCCTTCCGTTCCCAGCCTGGGGCCAGGCACACAGCAGACGCTTCATAAAGGTGCACGGACTGACTTGCGCCAAGGTTTTCCTCGTGCCAAGTCCAGCCCTCTGCCAAGGGCATCAGGCGGCTACTAGTTCTGACCAGCGTATCGGATGGCAGTCCATCCATCTCCTCCCATGGTGATACGGGCAGTGTTTACAAAGACAGGGGAAGGCAATAAGCGTGTCTCTGGTGCCTTCCTGTATTCCATGCCTCACCTGGCTCCAGGAGGGCCGGCCCACGAGGCCAGGCTGCCCCTGCCCCAGGGCTCCCCTCCTCCCACAGCCTGGCTCCAGTGGACTGGGTGCCCTCTCAACCCGGCACGGGGCCCAGCGGTACCTGGCTGAGAGGCAGGGGTCCCTCTCTCACTACCCGGGCCCAGGACCTTCACGTGACTGGCTGGGAACCATCCCTTCTGGCGTTTTTTTCCTCTGGCCTGCAAAAGGGCTCAAGGTCAGGGGGCCTGACACCATAGCCAAAGGGGATGCAGGGAAACTGCCCGGCTCCTGAGAACTCCCCATTCAGGCCTGGGCAGAGAAGGCTCAGCCCATCGGAGGTCCTTTAACGCGACGTCACAGCAAAGGCCCAACACGCCCCAGGGCGTGTCATGGACCGACCACCCCCCAGGTGACTGTGGCGGGGGATCGAGGGAGGGATGGTGACCGAGCCTGGGGGCCAGGGGCCCCAGCCCCGTCTGCACCTCTGCCTACCAGGCTCTGCCAGATGTCCCTCCCCCGCCGGCCCCACCTCCTGTCCCCCTTGGAAGGAAACGTGGATTTCTGTGGCGCACTGGACACCCAACAAAGCAGAAGTCCAGGCGGGGAGTGTGGCTGATTCTCAAAGCTCTCTTGCCTGCCTGTGCTGGCCCAAGGCAGCAGGCCGGGTCCTTCCAAGGCTGAGGCCCAAGGCAGGGGCCAGCCCACAGCCCACAGTTCCGGGGCATCCTCGGCCCCTCCCAGTTTCACCCCAGGCCAGAGAGCAGGGTGCGAGGTTCTGCACCTGCTTTCCTGGGGCAAGCCCAGATCTTTCTGCTCCCCCTGGTGCCCAGGGCCGAGATCCCCCCACATGCCCACGAAGGCAGGCAGGGCTTGTGGACCAGGCCCTTGGGCGGTGAAGAGGAGGAGGTCACGGTTACCTGCAGCTCCCCTTGCCACCAGCCGCTGGCGTTTTTCTTCAGAATCAGGATCAGCTGCCCAGGTGAGAGGCTGAGCTGTTCCGCCCCAGATGCCATGTAGGCGGAAGTGACCTGGGCGATTTCTGCCAAGACAAACGGAAAGAGAGGGTCAGCGGGGCCGGGCTGGGCTCTGGCAGCTTCCTGCCTGCCCCCCTGCCCTCTCCCCACCTACCTGGCTTTTTGTTCAGGCCCCCAGCTCGGCTGGCGCTTCCCAGAGCCTGGAAAGGAAAGGCGAGAGCTTCTGTCCGGTGATCCCTGACCAGCCTCACTTGTCCTTTCTAACAAACTGAAGGTGGGCCACTGATCCCAGGGGCGTGCTGCTTCTGATTCCCAGGACTCTTGGGCCTAATTCCTTCTCCCCAGCCTGTGTGCCACGCCCCACTTCTCCCAACCCTCTCCTGGCACTCACAGGTTCACTCCTTCCTTCCCGAAAGGGGCGGGCAGGCCCCAGCAGAAAGCACTGAGTGTCTGGCCTCCTGGGCACTGCGACTGCCCTGCTGCTGGACCAGGCAGACTGCCAGGTCTTCCCACCTGCCCACTCATCCTCAGCGGAGGACGATCTCAGCTGCCCACCTGCCCTCCCTTGTCTCCCTCCTGGGCTCTGGACACCCCATCAGCTTCCAATCTACTTCATGGGACTGCTGTCCCACCCATTTCTTTCCATCTTTTCCCCAAGAACAATATGAAATGTTTTATGTCCAAAGCGGCGCGAGGCCTACAGCAGATGCTCTCTATGACAACAGGGAGTGTGCTGAGCTCAGCCCAGGCTGCTCCGGATGAGACCTCCCTGCTAGGGTTCTCCCCAAGCTCCAGCCAAGCTCCCTGGCCTCAGGCCACGAGCGGCCCACCTGGTCCTCTATTTGCGACGTCAGGTTTGTGGCTGGAGACGTCTCAGCACAGACTGCTGGGAGCCAGCTGTCAGCCTGGCTGTGCTCCACTAACTCTCTTCAGCAGTGCACAGCACAGGAACAAAGAGCGATCTGCCCCTGACCAAGCACACAGTAGGTGCTGCACAGATTCCTAATCACACAAGGGACAACTATCCTCCTGTGAAGGGACGAGCGCCCAGCCCACTTCAGAAGCGCAGCTGGCCAAGGTGCAAGCCTCTCCTCGGACGCTCCCCACTGGCCGCAGGCCAGGTGGGTCGCCCCTTGCTGTCTCCCTTCCTAGGGGCCTGCAGCTGTAAAGATGGCTGGCTGACGGGGGGCCCAGCGGAATCGTGCCTCCCCTGGCTCTTTCCACCCGGACCTCGCCAGGGCAGCCTGGGACTCTCCTACTGTGTCCCCACATCTCCATGGAATCTGGGTAGAGTGGAAGCTCCCGAGGGCACGGGGTGGCACACAGGAGGGGCTCTACCGAGAGGTGACTCACCGCCTCAACGATGCGGCACCTCCTCTGGTGCCCAGACAGTTGACGGTGGGCCCTCTGTCCGGCTGCCCGGCCAAACTGGACTGCAGGCGTCCCCCCTCCCCCAAGGCACGGCCCCACCATCCACAGGTCCCCGCGTGTCTGTACCTCGGGTTCCTTCGCTCGGACATAATTGGATGGGAAGATGCCGGCTCGGTGGCCGATGCTCCCCGTCCACCACTCCCCATCCTTCTGGGTGACCAGTATCTCCTCCCCCTCGGTGAAGGTCAGATCGCCAGGCTCTGAGCTTGAATAAGAGTAGAGGGCCACATATTCTGCCAGGAAGAAAAAGGAAATGGCGACTTGGTGACCGATGGACAGGCCCGACCCGCCGGTCACACGGATGCTCCTGGGGGAGCACAGAGGCCTGGGAGACCCTACTGAGCGCCAGACAGCTCAGCCCAATCTCCCCTCATGGCCGTGGCGTCTCCTTGCGTCCAGCCCATCCCCCACGAGTCTGGCCCACACCAGGCATTCTTGGCCTCGGAGGCACAGCCTTAATAACAGTGGTTATCTTGCACCTGCTCTGTGCTAGGCATCATCTCCCTGATAACAACCCTGGGAGAGGGTGCTACTGTGACCCCATTTTACAGGTGAGGAAACTGAGGCAGGATCAGACGTCAGGTCATCCTGACTCCAGGCCTGGCACTCTGACCACTGAGCCGCCTCGCTGCCCTGCATCCATACACCTAGTAGGGGTTCCATGACCCTAACCCTGCTCGAGGATCAAACACTAGTCCCTCTAGTTCCAAACCCAGCTTTTCGGCCTTCTCTCAGTTCATCTCCCACCTCGGTGCCTTTGCCCTAGGCCGCCCCACCCTAACCCTAACCCTTTCCTGCTTATGCTCCCTGCCACCCCAAACCACTCTGTCTGCGATATCTACCCATACATCTGTGTGCGCATGTGCACACACACACACAACCTGGCACACAGCGGGTATTTCATAAATTCCAGGCCCTGCCCAAAGGACTGATGCACAAGTATGGCTCCCGGAGAGTGCACAAAGGCGTCCTCCGGAGCCAGACCCTTACCTTCCCCTGGCGCTGGGCCTGTGCTGCTTGGCTTCCGATTGATGCTGGCATAGATAGCTTCTGGTCTGCAAGCGGAAACAAGACAGAGGGCGGGGGAGTGACTCGGGGCAGGCGGGGGGCTTCCTGCCTCGGCCTCCCAGCCTCACGGCTCCCCCAGCGCAGATGCTGTATGACTGTCCCAGGCTGGTCGCCGCGGCCCAAAGGCAGGCAGCAGGGGCTCCGCGCTGGAAAGGCTCCTGCTTGTCTTTCAGCTCCCATGAGCTCTGAGCAGTGCAGTGAAGCCCAAGGTGACATCGGGCTGGCCCTGTGGGAGCCAGGCCGGGGGGAGGGGGGGGGTCGCTGCCTGCCTCAGTCTCCTCAGATGTCAAATGAGGATCCTCCCAGGGCAGTGGTGAGGTCCAGAGAGCTCAAGCACAGGGCTTGGTATACAGGAGGCGTTACCTAAATGCTCGCTAGTACTCCTGTAACTGACACCTATCACTTCGAGGGTTTGATACACAAACAACTCTGATCAAGGGGCCCCCAAGGGCGCGTCATCAGTGGTCTGCCTCGTCCACCCGTCCTTCCACCCTCCCTCGGGGACTTTTCATCTCACTTCATCTCGGCCCAGTGCCGGGCACACCGCAAGCCCTTCATGAGGGCTCTTTTCCATTCATTCATTCACTCGCTCATTTGTTTGTTCATTCATTCTTTTAGTTATCCATTCATTTTTCTGTTTATTCATTCACTCAATCATTCATCTGTTCATTTATTCATTCCTTCATTTGCTTATTCATTCATTCGCTCGTTCATTTATTCACTCATTCATTTATTCACTCAGTCACTCCTTTGGTAATTCACTCATTTGTTCATTTATTTACTTGTGCATTCGTTTATTCATTTGCTCATTCATCAATTCATTCGTTCATTTATTTGCTTACTTGTTCATTCATTCATTCACTCAGTTATTCATTTTTCTGTTTATTCATTCACTCATTCATCTGTTTATTTATTCCTTCATTTGCTTATTCATTCATTCACTCATTCATTCACTCACTCATTCGCTTGTTTGTTCAGTCATTCATTTATTCACTCATTCATTTCCTCATTCATCAGTTCATTCATTTGTTCACTTGTTCATTCATTCATTCATTCACTCAGTCATTTCTTTCTTTCTTTCTCTTTTTTTAGGCAATTGGGGTTAAGTGACTTGCCCAGGGTCACACAGCTAGTTAAGTGTCAACTGTTTGGTCTGAGGCCAGATTTGAACTCAGGTCCTCCTGACTTCAGGGCCGGTGCTCTATCCACTGCACCACCTAGCTGCCCCTCACTAGTCATTTCTTCATTCATTTCCTCATTTATTCTTCCACTTGTTCATTCATTCATTCCTTTGTTTCCACGGGGTCTGTCTGGCCCTCCATCTCGTTCCCAATCTGTCAGTACTCTCATCTGGCCCCCAGCTTTCTCTGTCTTCAACCATCCCAAGAACAGCCCCATGACCGCTGCTGAGCCACATCTCTCAGGCCCCAGACTCTTGTTATCGATGGCCATAGCTTCCGCACCCCTCTCATTACTGCTACTGCTGCTCCATGAAAACCCTGTTCTGAGCTTCCTGCAGCCAACAAAGGTCCCTAGTGCACTGTACCTGGTACCCAGTCAGCACTGCATAAATGTTAGTCAACACTGATTGAGCACCTACTGTGTGCTCTGGGCACTGGGCTGAATGCCAGGGACACGACAAGTCTATGACTCATTTAAACCTAAGGTACGTGACCACCTAGCTGCAACTGACGTGTCCAGGGCACAGACATCTCATGGACATGCCAAAGGACACAGAGCCCTGAGTTCAGATCTGGCTTAAAACACTCGTAGCTGGGTGACCTTGGCAAATCACTGGACCTGTCTGCCCCAGTGTCCTCACCCGTAAAATGGGGATCCTAACAGCCCCTAGCTCCCAGGATGGTTGTGAGGATCCAGTGAAATGATAACTGCAAAGCACTTAGCACAGTACCTGGCACACAGTAGGTGCTACACAAATGTTAATTGTCCCAGGCCTCCCCTTCCTGTGCTCTGTGCTCCAACTCAATTGGATACTCCCCATTCCCTCAAAAAAAAAAAACAAAAACCAAAAACCCAACAACCCACAGCTCTCTTCCACGCCGCTCCCCCTCCCGGGACTGGTGCCCACTGATCTCAGTGGCTCGGCTCCAATCACCTCCCTACACCCCCTCTTCTCTTCCTATGTGCCTCCACTCTCTCTTGCAGCTATTCCTCAGGATAAACTGCTCCTTATCCTCCATCTTGTGTCAGTTCAGTAACGTGACCTTGGCTTTTCTAAAGGCGTGACAGGGAAGGTAGAGCAGGGGAGTCAGAAAGAGCTGAGTTCAAATCCAGCCTCAGACACTCACTAGCTGTGTGGCCCCCTCCTTCAGTTTCAGTTGGTTCATCTATAAAATGGGGATCACCCCTAGCTCCCAGGGTGGCTGTGAGAATGAAATGGGATCCTGAAGCACTGTATCATACTAGCCATCATTATTATTACTATTAAATGTGAGATGGATAAGAAAGCTGAGACTCAGAGTCTGCTCCAACCCCAGACCTGGGTGGACAGCAAAGCCAGGGCCCAAAAAGCCCAGGGCAGAAGACCCCAGGGGAACTCGACACAGCAGAGCAGCCTCTAGCCTCTCCCCTGACAAGTACCAGGCCCTCCTGAAAGGCAGACACATCTGCTGGGCTTGGAGAAGGGTCCCAAGAAAGGGCAGGCAGGGCTCCTGTTGGCCTGGACGTGGATACTCACTCTTCCTTCCTGGTTTCCGGCCCCGCGATGATCTTGACATAGGACTTGGGGAACCACCCCCTGCCTCCATGCACCGACCCAAACCACCAGTTCTCCTGCTGCTCCAGAACCGTGATGACGTCATGCTTGGAGAAATTCAGGTGGTTCTCCTTCTTGGCCGTCCAAGAACAGAGTGCCTGTGCCTTTAGGTTTTCTACCGTCTGTCCCTGGGGAAGGCAGACCCAGAGGGTCACCCAGCTGCGCAGTGGTGACCCACTGGCCAATGAAGAGGAGACACTCCCTGCCAGGTGGGGCAGCAGAGGTGGGTGTGCAGAGGCATGTGGAGTCTGTTGGCCAGGGGTGATTCAGTGACCAAAATAAGCCCAGCATTATGGGGAGGGTTGTGGAGCAAGTCTATTTAGGGTGTCAGTGAATTCTTGTCATGTACAGAGGCAGCATGGCACAGAGGAGAGACAGCTGACCTCAAAGGCAGAAGACCTGGGTTCAAGTCTTGCCTCTGGTGGCTACTGTCTGAGTGACCCAGACCAAGTCACTGAGAGGACAAGCACCTTTACTGCCCCGAGGCAGCTCTGAGACTGTAGGTCAAAGGTGCTGGTGTTTCCTTACCTGGCAGCCCCTGAAGCCAGTGACCTCCCAAGACCTGTTCATATCCCCTAGAGGTCATGTGGCCTGCTAAGTCTCTGTCAATGTTCAGAACACAGACCGCTGAATATCAGAGCTGGAAGGCCTACTCTAACCAACTCATTTTACAGGGGAAGAAACTGAGGCAACCATATCACTACATGCAAAAGGCACCCCAGGGAAATGACTACTTTTGACTGAAGTGTAAAAAATGCATTTTGTGCTTAAAACCTACTGAGACAGAACAAAGGCCCAGCCCCCCAGCCCCTTTACCACAAAGCCTGGAGCACCAGTGGCCATGTGGCTCCTGTTCCCAGTGGAGCATCTATGCCCTGAAACCATCCCTCCCCCGCCCCCACTCTCCCCCAACAGAGCTTGCTCTGCCCCAACCACGTCCTAGGATGGGGGAGGAGAAGAGTCGGAGAAGCCCAGAGACACAATGCAGGCCCACACACCTGTCCGTGAACGGGAGATGCAGATCCGGGGGACATGGTGCGAGTGAAAGCGGACTTCTTCTGCCAGCTGGCATTCGCAGTGAGGGCAGAGAAGGGGACGTTCTGGTAATCGGTCTCTGCTGCGGGCTGTCCTGAAGGACGGGATCTGCGGGGGGAGGGGCACAGGCATACAGCTAAGCCCGGGCCCGGGGACTGCCGTCGCCCAGGAGACTCAGGAGAGCCCCAGCTCCAGACTTACTCTGGAGGAGCTGACGAGGTAGTCGACAGAGAAGCCACAGGTGGCAGCAAGGCCTTCTTGGGGGACACCAGCTTTTCGCCAGGTGACGCCTTTTCAACATAGTTTCCTGGGAACCAGCCACAGCGGCCTTGAAAACGGCCATAGAGCCAGCCAGGTTCTCCTGTGGTTTTTTCATCCACCTAGAGAGAGAAGGGAGCGGCTGGGGTGTTGCACACAACCATCCTCGGTCCCAGGGATGTCATGGAGGGGCCGCTGGCTGCAGCCGCTGCAGGGGAGCCTCCATCAGCAGCCTGGAGGAGGGCTAAGCGGGGAGGGGGGCCACTCTCCCTACCTGCACGATGTCTCCGGCACCGAAGCTCATTTCATCATGACTACGGGCTTCAAAGGTGTACAAGGCCTTGTAGTTCACCCAGCTGGCTGGGCTCCTGGGCTCAGAGGCACCGAGAGCCTCCCCTGGGGGAGAGGAAGGCTTTCAGCCCTCGCTGCCTCCATCCTCTGGAGAGAGCCAGGGTTCAAGTGCGAGCAAAAGCTGGCAGATTGCGGCCTCCCCCCCTTACCCCCGTCCTCAGCCTCAAGCGGTGTGTTCTCAGTGCTCAGCAGTTCTTGTCGCATTTTCTCTTCCACGAGGCGCTTTTGTTTCTCCTCTTCCTCCTTCTTCAGGTTTTCCCGCCAGAGGTTTTCTTTCCCTTGCTTTGCCTTCCTTCAAAGATGAAGAGGACAGTGTGTTCCTCCCTGAGCCAGGTCCCCGGCCCCACCACCCCAGACAACAGGACGACACAAAGCCCTTTGGGTCCTGGGCCCAGGCAGGGCCCCCTGCCTCTCTTCCAAGCAGCCAATGCCAATTCCTTCCCAAGAAACCCTCCTCGCCTCAGCCCAGGGGCCGGCAAAGGGCCTTCCCTCCCGCACATCTCCCCTGGCTCCTCACATCCGGGCCCTCGCCTGCTGCCCAGAAACACACCTCCCAACACCCTTCCTGCCAAGGAGGGCAGGCCCTCTCCCAGGTGACCGGACATGGGGCCGGGGCAGGGTGGCTGGGTGCTCCCACCGCCTCTTTTCACTTCTCTCTAGAGAGGAGTCTCGTCTTGCTGGGAGGACCCGTGACCTGAGCAATGGCAGGACCCAGCCGCGGTGGGAACCTCGGGCAGGCCCAGAGCGAACAGCCTCTCCCTTTGGGAGAGGGCGTGAGGCTAACCGGCTCTGGCATTTCTCCACAGACACACATATTCTTCTGGACGCTTTCTGTCTGGGGAGGCTAGGGTTCTGGGAGAGCCTCCCTGAGGGGTCATTTCTGACCTTCTGACCCCAAGGAAGAAGACACTAGGATCCAACGCCAGTGGTGCCCAGATCGACAGTCATTTGTGGCCACTAAGCCATGGCGGCCCTACCAATCTGGCCCTCCCCTGTGTGAGGCCACGGACCAGGAGACCCTTCCCCAGGGCCTGTGCTGGGCCGGCAACTAGGCCGGGTCTTGAGGATCCTGCCAAACACAAGCAGGCTTTCTCTCAGGAGCTTCCACAACTGTGCTGTGTATGGTGTGCAGCTCAAGGCCCACTGACCGGCCTTCTCAACGTCCAAACAGAAAGCGAGGAGTGAACGCTTCTCGGCTTAGGGGCCCATTCAATCCTCAGTCTTGGGAGGGAGGCGTGAGAGGGCCTGGCCAACCCTGCGGGAGAGGAGCCCAGGGCCCCCAGCGCTGCTCCAGGGCGGAGAGGGGAGCCTAGAGTGCCTGGCCAGGGACAGAAGGCCCGCGGCCCGCCTCACCTGGTGGCCGCCTCCTCCTCCAGTTTCTTCTTCTGGGCCGCCTCGGCCCTCTTCCTTTCGATCTCTCTCAGCTTCTCCCGTTTGATCAGATTGAGCTGCTCGAGGGCCAGCTGCTGCGTGCTGTAGTTTTCTCTCAGCTCCTGAGGAATAAGAAGGAAAAGTCAAGAGACTGGAATAGTGTGAACCCGGACCTCTACCACAGCGGTTCCATCCCATCCCGTGGCCAGGTGGCGCCTGGAGACACGGCTGCTTCCCACAGGTGGGAACAACGGTGGGACTGCCATCGTTTTAGCCCCTGTGAAAGCTAGGAAAGGGGAGAATCTGGGTCCCCAAGAAGTCTGCCAGAGCCCGTTTTTAAAAGCTGGAGACCAATTGCCTTCTGGTCGTGTCTTTGGGTGGGAAGTAGGTTGTCAGCCAGCAACCTGGATTTTCCCACTGTGTGTATCTGACCACCAATTCACTAGAGGTCAATTAAGTGCAGAAGGAGCTTCCTGGAGTCTTGGAATGTCAGCCCTAGAAGGGCCTTTGGAAGACATCCCCTTTCACCCCCAGCAGACCACTAAAGCGTCCCTGACAAAGAGTGACAGCGAGCGGGACGGACAATCCCAGCTCCTCCACGGCAGAGCTTGGTCATCACTCTCAACATACACACACACAAACACTGACACACACTCTCTCTCTCAAGACTAAACACGGCCAGGTTCTACAATTTCTCCTGGACACTCTCCAGCTTCTGAAGCACCCACTGGTCCACATTCCCCCCCTCCCAGCCCACACCACTGAAATTGCTTTCTCCAGGCATCATGCTGATCTGGGACAACTACAAACTCACTCAACCACCTTTTCTCAGTCCTGGTCCAACTATGCAGCCTGTCTTATCAACCATCTGCCCTCAGAAAGTCTTATCTAACCGGCTCCTGACAAGAGTTGTCTCCACATTGTATGTACCAACCTCTGCCTGAAGATCCCAGCGTGGGGGAGCCCCTATACTAAAGACACCAAAGAGGAACCTGTCTCTAATAGGATAGCTACAGGGCGCCACAGTGCACGGAGCGCTGGGCCTAGAGTCATGGAGACTCATCTTCCCGAGTCCAAATCCGGCCTCAGACAGCTGTGTGACCCCGGGCAAGTCACTTTGCCCTGTTTGACTCCGTTTTCTCATGTGTAAAATGAGCTGGAGAAGGGAACGGCAAACCACTGCAGTGCCTTTGCCAAGAAAACCCCAAAAGGGGTCACAAAGAGCTGGATGCGACTCAAAACTAATAAGCAACCACAATTCCTCTGGAGATTGGCCCTCTGAGGACAAACTCAAGACACCTCGTTGCAGCCCGCTCCATTCTCCTAGGACGCATCCCCATGCCCCGCCACATCCCCTCCTCTCCGTCCTCTCCCAGGAGGACCCCATCAGTACTCCCTGCCAGCTCTGCCGGTCCCGACTCCTCAGCCCCACGCCGGGTCTCTCCACGACCCCACCGCCCGTCCTCACTCCATTTTCCACATTGCCGCTCTCCTCAAGCCCTGCCCCACCCAGACCTGTTCTCAGCTCCAGCCCCTCAGTACTTTCTCAGGCCGCGATCCCCTAACCCAGCTTCACTCTCTGACCTCTTCTACCTCAACCCAAGAAAGAGTTAGTTAGGAAAGGATGCTGGGGTTAGTTGCTGGAGCCCTGGGTCAAGCGGACAAGGCGCCACAGCCGCCCGAGGAGCAGCCACGACTTCCTGCTCCTTCTCCTCCTCCCCCCAGAGCGTGGGCACCGCCCCTGCCCCTCCCTGCCTGACACCCAGCCGCTACGATGAAAGCTGCCATCTTCCTGCCCTCCCCGGACCTCTGATGCTCCCTGCTTCTTTTGGTACCTTGGATTTTTACTCCAGTAACAGGTGAAATAGCAAGTCTTGATAGCGGAAATTGAGATGAAATTTTGAACAATGCAGATATTGTTTCAGTTAATTTTTATGCTGACTGGTGTCGATTCAGCCCAATGGTGTATCCAATCTCTGAGGAAACCCCTAGCATCATTAAGGAAGAACACCCAAACAAAAATCAAGAGTGTCTGCCCGAGTAGACAATGACCAGCGCACAGAAACAGCCCGAAGAGACAACGAGCAAATGTGCTGCCCCCAAACCGCTCCAGAGGGGAACAACCACGAAGAGGATCCCAGGATCAGAGATCAGCGACACCACAGCGGATCACATCAGGCAACACAAGAGGGGCCCGCTCAGAAGCTCCTGACTCGTCCTGATCGCAGTCAAAGAACAATCTCTGAAGATTCTGAACCCAAGGCCTCAGGCGACAGTACCTCTGGAAGAGGAGCGCATGCTTTGCACAATGACTGTATCCTCTTTTCTGCATGGGGGCTTTTCCCGAACCCCCCCCCCCCCCCCCCCCCCCCCGGGAACGTGCTCCCGACACGTATGCGCGGGATCGCTAACACAGTCTGACTTGGCTTATGCTTGGCCACGGGATAAATGTGTTCCTCTTGTTCGGGAAATAACATCTGAAAAGGAGAGGAAGAGACAAAAGGAGGATGGCCTGTTCTCATGCTTTTCCACACGAGAGAAGACGCAGCGAGTCTGGATGTATTCCAGAACAAAGGAGCCCGGCGGCTAGCAAGTGAAAGAGGTACAAAGAACTGGCAAACGTGGACCCCCACGTGTACACAGACAGAAGGCAGAGCCGCCGCCAGCTTCAGGCACACGTGTGTCTTTCCAGACGTGGGGATTTATCGATTCCAAACAGCTTAAGCAGTTGGTATTAGACGTGTATCCAGGAAAGCTGCACAGAGAATTCCATCACGGCCCTGATCCCACTGATGCTGCCCTTGGACAGAACATTCAAGATGTAGCAAAGTCCACCACAGTTCCTTTCAGAAACTAGTACCCAGAAGTGACCCTGACAACTTCAGCCAGGACTGTCCCTCAAATCCTCCGCTTCTCCCCGGGGAACAGCCCATCAATCAATAAACCTAAGTGCCCGGTCCCTGCCCTCCCCTGGAGGAGCTTGGCCGCTTGGCTCCATGACACACGGCTGTTCTCTGACAGTCCTTCCCACTCTCGCTCCCTAGAGCAGATGGGCCAAACCTCCCCCTCCTCAGCAGAGAGTGCCCAGCCTCTCAAGATGAGCTCGCCTTTCTCCCTGCCAAGGTCATCTCTGGCCCCAGCACACAGCATCCTCAAATTGGCGACATTTTCCCATCAGTTGGCTTCTTCCCTTCAGCCTTTAAACACGCTCCAAGCTCTCTGTCCTGAAAACGCCTGGGCCATGAGACTCAGCATCCCTTCCATCTCTCCTCCCTTTCTCAGCCAAACTACTGCAAAAAGCTGTCTACACTTGCTGCTGGCATTTCCTTCCCTCTCACCCTCTTCTCAACAGCCTGCGCAGCCTGGCCTTGTGTTCCACACCTCTCTCCCGCCCGCCACGCTGCAACAGGAGCAGCGGCTCCTCCGATCAACCCTCCTCTGGCCGCTCACCAGGTTGGTGCCCAGAGAGCAGAGGAGAGGACAGAGAGAAGCGCCTCTGCTGCCTGCCCAGGGAGGTCATGCCACTCTCAACGTGGCAGCTGAGGATGAGGTTCACTCGCCCCTGGGTTCTTTTTTGTACAGACTGACTGTAAAACTCTCACTCTCTCTTTTTTTTTGGGGGGGGGCAAGGCAATTAGGATTAAGTGACTTGCCCAAGGTCACACAGCTAGTGAGTATCACGTGTCTGAAGCCACATTTGAACTCAGGTCTTCCTGACTCCAGCGCTCTATCCACTGTGCCACCTAGCTGCCCCTATTTCTCACTCACAACGTCATCCTTCTGGATTCAGCCCGAAGCTCTGGTCTGCCAAGACCTTTCTGGGCATAACCCCCACTCGGTTCTGTCCCTTGAGGTAGCCTCTCCACTTCTACATTAAGTTACTGTGGGTGTCTCCTGTCGCTTTTAAGAGAACATACTCAACATTGCTGTGAGACAGCTAGGAACAAATTTAACCAGAAATAAGAGCATGCCGAGAGTGGGGCACCGTCCATGGCAGCAGGCCTCGGGGAGGCTGGCGTGGGACATACTGGGGGTTTTTCCCTCTGCTCTTCTCCTCATCTCTCTCTAACAATTCTTTGTCATAAGGGACAGCTCTCTGGGAGGGTGAAGGGAAAGGGTTGCTGGGGAAAATCTACATGATGTAAAGACCAAAAAACCTGTTAAAAAGAATCTGGTCAATACAAAGTTTTGTTTTTGGAGCTTTCTTAATAAAAAGAAAAGCATACAGCATCTTTTCTAAAGGCAACTTTTTTTTGGGGGGGGGGGCAAAGCAATGGGGTTAAGTGACTTGCCCAGGGTCACACAGCTAGTAAGTGTCCAGTATCTGAGGCCAGATTTGAACTCAGGTCTTCCTGACTCCAGGGCTGGTGCTCTATTCACTGTACCACCTTGCTGCCCCAAAGGCAACATTCTTAAAAGGGATTTAAGTGGTCAAATAGAATGAAGCCAAATCATGTGAATTCAGCAGGACCAAAAAAGAATAATTCTGGGGAATGAAAAAAGATCCAACATCTTCCATGCAGCAATGAACCCCCTTGTGGTGGTAGAGTCCTTGGTTCTCGAAGAGGACCCAAAGGGCATCACCATGCTAGAGTCAAGCTTCAACAGCTCTGAGTGCGGCTGACCAGACCACTGCGTGCTTTGGAGGCTCTGCCCCAGGGTGGCACAAGAAGTCCACATGAACGTTTGGGGTGGATTCTCTAAATGAACTCCCAACACCCACCTAAGTCAGCCAACCCTAAAAGCGGGAATCAAGTCAATTGTCCTCATGCCTTACCAACTCAGTGGTCAGATGGGTCCAAAAGATGGAGGAACCCAGGGCCAATTAAAATGGAAAAGGCCATGCTAAGGGCCGCTGACTGTCCCAGTCCATGGCCATCCACGGGCCCAGAGGCCCCCTTTGCCCTGCTCTCCTGCTTCTTAAGAATTTAGAAAAATGGATTTTTCTGACCCAGTCTCTCTGCCCTAATCATTCCCTTGTCCTGGGGCAGTGTGTTCCCACGGTTCCCCAAAGAGACAGGGATTTTCTGCACCTCTAAGTTTCCCACCTGGTCTATATCTCCCCTCTTGTGACCTCAGAAATGGGAAGCCAAAGAGATTCCTTTGAGAAGGAGCCTATGTCTTCCTATAAAATACAGCTGTCCAAAGTCAGCCTGGTCTTGAAGTCCCTGCAACAGCTTAGTACGATCAAGGATCTATCCCTGGGACAAGCTTCAGAAGCCTCCTGCTGACCGCTGGAGACATCGACTCTCACCAGCCTGATGCACCATCTAGCTTCCTTCCCTCCCCTTCTATCCTCAGGGTCAGCAGGCCGACCCGCTGAGAGCCGCGCCGTGGCTGCCCAACTTCCCTTGGGGGCTCTCTGCCTGGCAAGCCCTCCCCTGTCCAGTTCCCTTGCTGCGAGAGTGCCAATACAGCCCCATGGGGGAGGGGAATCTTTGATCTTCTCCCAGGCTTCGAGAACATCCTGGAGAATGCCTGAAGGTGCTATCTGTCATGGCTGATGGCTGTTCTGCGGTCCTTCGTGGCCCCCCGCCCTCTTTCTGGCTAGCCAGTCTGTAGCCTGGTCTGCTGGAGGGGCCCAAGACCCCTCAGAAATGAAAGAGAGTCGGGCCATCGTGGGTCTAGGAGAGGCCTGCTCCACTCTCCTCGCTGACCTCGGCAGTCGGGCCCTCATCTGGTGAAAGCTGGCAAGCATCAGTAGGACCCAGAGCTCTTGGACAGAGCACAGAAGCCTCATGCCTGGAAGAAGGCATCTCCCACGATCTGGACTGATGCTAGACCAGAGGCTTGTGACGGGACACAGATCCCAAGGGCTCAAGGACTGCAGCACAGGCCCCTTGGATGAACCACACGCATGCACACACATGCACATGCATGCACACACATACACAACATGCACACAGGCAGCATTTTGGTGGAGACACAGTGGGCGCCCACTGATCAGGAAATGATATATTACTACAAATTCAGAAGAAACAAGGAAATACAAAGCACAGAGAAGCATGAGAAACCTTTAACGAGCCCATGTCGGGAAATAAGCAGATCCACCAGGACTCCTGCTCCCTCCTCTGGGCAGGCGCTGGGGCAGGCTACCAGGAGAGGGGGGCCACAGACCCAGAAACACTCAGATCATTGAGCCAGCATCTGCCGCAGGGGTGTCCTTATGCCCTCTCCCACGGCTGTCCCCTGCCCCTGGGACAGCTCATGAGAGCTTCCTGGCTGGTCTCCTGCATGCGAGTACTCCCCCTCCCATCCGCTACCTACACAGCTGTGGCGGAGACAGGTCCGAGCCCTGAGAGGGCTCCTGCTGACCAGACCAGCTCCCGACCCACACACAGCCCTGAGCCTCTGCCTCTATGCCTCGGTGCAAGCTGGAAGGAGTCCTTTCTCACGTTCCCCAATGAGCTCCTTCACAACGCACCTCAGGGCACCTCCAAACAGCCCCCTCAGGTAACTCCCTCTCTTTGCACTGATTTTAGCAGACGTGTGGTTCTCCCTGCAGAATGTAAGCTCTTCGAAGGCAGGTACAATTTAATTTTCAGCACATCCCCAAGGACATGTGCCAGGCATAAAACCAATGACCGACCTGTTTTACATATCGGCAGGGGTGAGCGATGTGCCCAGGAAGGTGGGTGGAGCTCTGAAGGAGGGAGGGTCAGACGAGAGAGTGGAGCTGAGAGATGCACCAGGAGAGCACAGGATGGGGCGGGGGGTCCCACAGAGGAAAAAGGAGGAGCAGAGTAGTGGAAAGGGACACCAGCATGTCAAAATTGGCTGAGGAGCCAGGACACGGAGAGGCCAGCATTTTCACTGGGTGCTGGGCTCAGTGACCTCGGGTGGTTGACTAGAACTGGCCCATAAAAGGTGCTTCCTCCCCCATCCCCCAAAAGGCAGCAGACAGCAGGACAGAACTACAAGGAGGCCTGAGTAGCCCAGGGCTGGCAAGGGCTTGAGAGATGCCGACCTCTGCCTCTCCTCTGACTGACAGGCAAGCCAACGGCTCCTCCCCTCCAGGGGTTTCTGTTTGAGGGGCACACAGTGAATGACCTGCAAAGTGTACAGGACTAGGGAGGAAGGAGGACGCACTCGCCCACTGTGGGCCTGCCCAGCAGCCAACTGCACTTCTGTCCCCTGGCCACCGTCTGCCTCGGCCCCTGCTGTGGGCAATTGGCCGCCAGAGCCCCTGGGACGTCGTGGTCCAAATGCTCCTCATCAGAAGAAATGCCCCTCGGAGTCAGGGACCGCCTCTCACTTGGCACTCATTAACTAAAAACCAGGGTTTAGGGAAAGGCCGCCTAGTGGAAGGGCCCTGGAACTGGGATGAGGGGGGAGGGAGGAGGACGTTCAGGCCTGGCAGAGAGCTGGGGTGCAGGGCCAGGGGCAGAGGCAGGAGAGAGGCTGTCAACAGGAAGGGGGAAAGGAGCCAAAGGCTCCTGCCAGGACAAGGCAGCCCAGAGCCCCTCAGAGCCCCTAACCCCATGTCTTTGTCTTACCTGACAAACCAAACACTCTGCCCCTGGAGGCCTGGTTCCCAGACCCTGCTTTCTGCTCAAACACTGACTCACCCCCGACACCAGCTCCCATGAACGTGGGCTCAGCCCATTCCCTTCTCAGCCCCCCAAGAGGCGGGGAGCTGGGAGCAGCAGAGGGTTTGGCCTCCCGAAGAGAAAGGGAAGCCAGAGGACCGTGTCTCTAGCTTCGGGCATGGCCAGTCAGAGAGCAGAAGGCTAGGAAAGCGAGCAGAAAGAAAAAAGGTCCACATGGTTTGTGCGGCAGGGGAAGGCAGAGAGAGCCGAGACGTCACTCCCAGAAAGCGAGCCCAAGGTGGGAGAGTAACCTTAAGTAAGAGGAAGAGGTGGTGGAGACAGCTGAGCAGGGAGAAAAGGCACCGCAGCATAGCGTCATCCACAGTCACACACTGAAAGATAAGGCAGACAAAAAGCCCAATTAACCCGGCCCGGCCCAGCACGGCACGTCGGTCCCATCTTCTCTCTGCACTCATGCATGTCCCCCCACGGTCCTCTGGCCGCTCCCTGGGGGGCAGCCATCAGAAAAGCAGGCTCTGGGCTCCACTGCCATGCGATGGAGCCAGGGCTACCCCCTACGTCGGGGGGCACCCTCTAAGCACAAGTGGGGCGTCGGCACGGATGTGGCGGTCAGCCTCTACCTGCACGGGCCACGTTCTCCAGGCACGGCTCATGCAGAGAAGGCCGGGGCCGCCAGCCATTGCCACTCGGTCACACGGGACTCCGGGGCCACAATCACTGAAATCTATCCGGCACAAGGATGGGACTCGCCACAGCTGCCCCAGCACCCCCTTCCCTTCACCCCGGCCAGCCTTGGCCGAGTTGGGGGGCCGAGGTCCTGCTCCAAAAGCCTCTGGATGAGACCGCAGCACCAAAGGGGTAAAGGCGATGAGCCCGACCTGAGCATGCAGAGCCAGCCCTGAGGGCCTGGAGCCCTCCACGGGGCTCACCTTCAGCTCACTGTTGAAGGCGTCCATCTCAGACAGCTTGGCAGCTGTCTCTCTCTCCAGGGCGTCCAGCTGCTCCTTCAGCCTTTGGCAGAGACCCTCCTTCTCCAGGGATTTCTTGTGAACAGCATCGATTCCCAGATCTGAAACACACACGTACCCACATGGAATCACCGGCGTCAGAGGCCCCATGAGCCTGTGGCGCTCGAGTGGGGCCCTGACGAGGGAGAGCGAGGGGCTGCCAGGGTCATCACCATTAAAAGTGCTGGGCCTGAGTACAAATCCGGTCTCGGACACTTCCCAGCTGGTAGCCCTGAGCAAGTCATCGGACCTCTGCCTGCCTGTTTCCTTATACATAAATGAGATGTAATAACAGCACCTTATCTGTAAGGGGCTAGTACAGTGCCCAGCACATAGAGGGTGTGGGCCCTGGATGGCAGCTGGCAGGCAGGAGCTGGCTCTGGTGCCACCTGGGGCACAACACGCCTGTGAAGACATGTATTACGTGGGAAGGAAATGCAGGCAGGGCCCAAGAGGGACCTTCTCTGACGTTGGTAAAGGGGCAGCTAGGTGGTGCAGTGGATAAAGCACCAGCCTGGGGAGTCAGGAAGACCAATCTCGGATACTCACTATCTGTGTGACTTTGAGCGAGTCACTTAACCCCAACTGCCTCCAAAAAAAACAAAAAACAAAAATCCCAAAACATTTATTAAGCACCTACTATGTGCCACACACTGTGCAAAGTGCTAGGGATACAAAAAGAGGTCAAAGACAGTCCACAAGACAGGACAAACCCTGGGTCAGACAGCACGGGTCTCAAGGCAGAGCTCTTGCAAGCCCAGCTTGTTGGGGCCAACTCTGGAGCTCTGAGCAGCCCACACACAGCCGTGGAAGTCAATGGGAATGTTAACTGGAAATTCTGGAGAGCCGTGAGGGCAGCAAAGCACTCACATATCGTCTCGTCAATCCTATGAGGCAGGAGCTAGTCTCAGCCTATTTTACAGAGGAGGAAACTAAGGCCCAGAGAAGTTTACTGATTCATCCAGGACCACACAGCTTGTAAGCATTTAAAGTGGGACTAGAACTTGGGCCTCCCTTCCTGTCCTCCTCTCTCCCTCCTTGAGAGCACCACAGAAAGGAGTCGATGGTTGGGGGAAGGGGAGGAGAGACAGGAGGGAGGGGCAGAGGGGGGAGAGAGAGAGAGAGAGGGAGAGAGAGAGAGAGGGAGAGGAGGGAGGGGGAGAGGGCGAGACAGAAAAGAGAGGGGGGAGAGAGAGAGAGGAGGGGGAGAGGGAGAGGAGGGAGGGGGAGAGGGCGAGAGAGAAAGGAGAGAGGATGAGAGAGAGAGAGAGGGAGAGAGCAAGGAGGGGGAGAGGGAGAGGAGGGAGTGGGAGAGAGAGAGGAGGGAGAGGGAGGGGGGCCCTTCCCAGAGGAATGACACCCTGCCAGATGACACCTGGGCCCAGGCAGAAGGAGCACAGCATCCAGAACACTCAGAGGCTTCCTGCCCCAGACCAAGATAGGCTCCTTCTAGAAGCCAGACATGGAGACAGACAGCATAGGACCAAACCTCAGTGGCCTTTCAAATCTAGGCTGAGAGAAGCATTCACCATGAAGCCCAGGATAGAAAAACAGAAGAGAGAATGGACAATTTCCACCCTGTACAATTTAGGGTTTGCATGAACAAAACTAATACAGCTCAAGCCAGAAGGGAAAGTGAGCTGGGAAAAATGCATCCTGCTCTCTCAGATAATGGTAAGATCACTGATATTCTACTTAAATTTAAGGGCCTAAAAGCTATCAGCCAACTGACAAACGACCAGAGAACACAAGCTGGACATTCAGCTCCAATTCACTCACTGATAATTAGGGACATACAAATGAAAGTAATTCAGAGGCACCTATCACACTGGAAAAGACCACAAATTCCACGGGCACTCAGTGCCCTGGTCTCAAGCCTCCCAACAACCCCCCTGCTCCCAGGCCCACGCCCCTAAGACAGTCAAGAAAGAGCCTGAGGACGTGTGTGCACAAAATGCCCTCGTTGCCCATCCACCGGAACCTGGACTAGGGACTGCACAGACCCCAGCTACGAAAAGTCCTCGCTCCCTGGGTGGACGGCCACAGTCATGGGCACAGTCCACACGGGCATCGCTGTGCTGGTTCACCTGCATTTTATGAGGGCTTGACTTTACTTTTTTCATTGCGGGGGTGCGTGGGGCAGGCTGGAGGGAAAAGGAGATAGGCTGAGTGAGCAAGGCCTGGGGCTGAGGGCTCGGACAGAGCCTAGAAGAGCTGCCTCCAAGGGCAGGGCTGGAGAGGGCTGGAGAGCACAGGGTCAAGGGGCAAGGAGGGAAGAGCCCTGGCCCTGCCTCTCTGCCCCACAGCGGCAGGGCCTTGGGGAGGGCCAGGCAGGAAACTCACGGGCTGAGCTGTCCGGATGCAGGTGCTGAACCCTGTCCTGTAACCGCTGCTTCTCTGGCACCAGATAGACGAGCTGGTTCTGAGATTCCTTGTGAAAAAAGCAAACAACCGTATTTCCAAACTGTGGGCCACTCAGCCCAAGCAGAGGCGAGAATGAAGCCTGAAAGAGCAGCGCCACTGGCCTGGCTCAGGGGCCCCTCCCTCCACACCGCCAAGGCCAAGTCACCTGCAGCTGTTGCTGAAGCTGCGTGATCTCCAGGACCCCCAGGTCACACTGCTTGTCCAGGACTTCCAGCTCACTCCTCCGACTCTGTTTTCTCTGCCGCACATCTTCGAGCCTCCCTGAGATTTGCAGATGTTTGCCATTCTGTCCAAAGGCCAAGAGAGCCAACGGTTAGGGCAGGAAAATAGTCCTAGGAGCCTTCCCCAGAAGAAAAGAGCATCATGCCGCTAAAGGGGAAAATGCCAGTGACAGACCTGATGGATGTCAGGCAGGCAGGCGATAGACATTTATTAAGCACTGACTGTGTGCCAAGCATTGTGCTAAGCGCTGGGGATATGAAGAAAGGTCAAAGACAGTCCTTGCCCTCGAGATGCTCTTGGTCTAAAGGAGGAGACATTGCGCAAACACCAGGTACAAACACACAGTCTCAGCTGGAGGCGAGGATCAGGCGGGATCTTGGCTGGAACCCCAAAGAAGCCATGGGAGCCTCTTTGTCATCTCTGTCTCCCAGGACCAAGGGGCCTCTCTTCTGACCAAGGCTGACCCCTCTGCCGGCACAAGAGACCCCTGCCATCCCACCTCCTCCAGCAGGCCACCCCCTCTGCCATCCCGCCTCCTCCAGCAGGCCGCCCCCTCTGCCATCCTGCCTCCTCCAGCAGGTCACGTTCTCTGCCATTCCCCTCCCTCACTTATCTTCAGTCTCTCCATCTCTACCGGCTCCTTCCCCTGCCCAGGTCTCCTCCATCCTGAAAAAACCCTCCCTTTTCTCTCCCACTCCCGTTATCGTTCTATTTCTCTTCTGCTCTCTGGAGCTAACCTCACCAAAAGGCCGTCTACACTAGGGGCCTCTGCTCTCTTTCCTCGCTCTCTTCTTAACCCTTTACAATCCTGCCACCTCATCCGTCCACCAAAACTGCTCTCTCCAAAGTGACCAGACAGATCCCGTGGCCTTTTCTCAATCCTCATGTTCCCTGACCTCTCTCTGTGCAGCCACTGACCCTGCTGGCCACCCTCTCTCCTGGTTCTCCTCCTCCCTCTGTGACCGCTCCTCCTCTGTCTCCTCGGCGGGATCCTCTATATGCTCTCTAACCATGGGTGTCCTTCAGCTCCTGTCCTGGGTCCTGTCCTGTCCCCTTCTCTTCTCCCTCTAGACCAATTCCCTTGGTGATCTCATCAATTTCTATGACTTTAATGGTCATCTCTGTGCCGATGATTCTCAGATCTACCTGTCCTGCCCCCGGCTCTCTGCTGACTTCCAATCTCTCATCTCTAACTGCCTTTCAGATGTTTCCAACTGCACATTCAGTAGACATCTTGAGCTCAACGTGTCCAAAGCAGAGCTCACGCTCCTTCCTCCAACCCACTCCTTGCGACCTTCCCTGGGACTGCACAGGGTAATTCCCAGTCCCTGAGGCTCCTAACCTAGAGATCCATGACTGCTCACACTCTCTCATCCCTCATATTCAATATGGCGCCAAGGCCCATTTATTTCACTGTTGCAGCATCTCCTGAATACGCTCCCCTCTCCCTCTGGTGCTGCCACCCTGGTCCACTCCCTTATCACCTCACACCTGGACGACTGCTCGAGTCTCTCCCCAGCCAATCATGCCACACACACCCCCACCCCCATCTACTCCGTAAACTCCAAGGGCTCCCTATGGCCTCCAGGAGCAAATACACAATGCTCTCTTGCACTCTCAAGGCCCTTCATCGCCTGCCCCCTCCTACCCTCCCAGTCTTCTTACACCGCCCCCCATGATGTAGGCTTCAGTGGCCCCCACCTGGCTGCTCCTCAAACAAGAGCCCACTCATCTCTCTGGCTTCCTTTTGATCTAAACTCCCACCTCCTACAGGAAGGCTTCTTCCAGCCCTCTTAAGTCCAGCACCTTCCCATTATAATGTATCTATTGGCCTGCTGTCTCCCCCATTAGACCGTAAGCTCCTTGAGGGCAGGGAGTGCCTTGAGCTTTTGCATTCCCAGTCCTTCACCCAGGGCCTGGCACATAGGAGGTGCTTAATAAACGTTTCTTGACTGAGTGATTGTCTGTGAGGAAGGGGAACGTTTGGGCCTGAGGGTCAGCCCACAAAAATGCCTGGAGCTGGGAGCTGGGAGCTGGAGTGTCGCCATGTGAAAGCTGGAAGAGGACTTGTTTTGGAGCTCCCCAGACTGCCCCCCAAACATGGCCTGACCCGTAACCACTTTCTCCCACTGCCCCTGAGCCTGCCCCCTGGGGCCACACTAAACAGAGCAAGACCCTCCTCCGGTACTGGAAGACAGCTCTCTTGCCATGTTAAATGTCCTCTCATTTCCTTCATCCCATCCTGGCATGTAACCAAAAAGGCATCAGTGAAAAGCAAAGGCGAAGCCTCAGATGCCACAGAATTCCTGACCCTGAATCTCCATCATGCTGTACTTGGGGGCCTCCCACCAAGGGACCTGCTCAGACTCCCCCAGGCGCAAAGAGCTCTTGTCAGCTGAAGCACCAGCTGCAGGCCTTGGTGGTCTCACTGAGGGGAAAGGCCCAGCCCCCCTCGTAATAAGCTCTCACCAGCGCTTCCAGCTCAAGGTGCAGACCCTTCCTCCTCGCTTGCAGCCGGACAATTTCCTCCTGTTCCCTATTCCGCTGACTGAGGAGCTCCTGCCTGCGAATTCTCTCCCATTCCAATCGGCGCTGACGCTCCAGCTCTTGTTGCGCAGCCTGCAAGAAAGGAACAAATGACTGAGAAGACAAAAGTGACCCTCAGACAATTCCTCAGAGCCCACCGCAGACCACGGGAAGCCCCGCAGGAACAGGCAACCTGAGGTCACACCACAAACAATCTGCAGCAACAGGCTGAGCTCTTAATTAAAGAAGAGAAGAAATAACTTTGGTTACTTGAAATTGGAATCTCTTTGCATGAATGAAATGGATGGAGACAGGACAAAAAGAGAAAATGTGGGATTGGGGGGAAAAAATCTTTGTATCCAAAGTCCAATGAGGGTCTGCTATCCATGATTTATAGGAAAATAAGGCAAACATCAAGCCTGAGATCCATCCCCAGTGGACAAGCTATTGAAAGAGATGAACAAAGGGTTTTCAAACGAGTAACCACAAGCTCACACCCAATGAAAGACTGCTCCAAATTGCTAGTCACAAAATGCTTCACACCCAGCAATTCGGCCAAGATGACACAAATGGACAGAGCCAGTGCTGGAAGGGCCGAAGGAAAACAGGCTCCTGACATACTATGTGTGCAGAGCTGAACACGGGGCCAACCACTCTGGAATTAGGAGGGTCCAGAATGTCCATATGCCCTCTGCCGCAGAGATGCCAGGGCTGACTGCACAGCACCAAGGAAATGAAAGCAAGGAAGAAGGACCAACAGAACCCAAAGCAGCCCTGGAATGGCATGAGGAGGCCCCGCTGAGACCCATGGCACCCAAACTCTCCAGCTTCCTTGGCTGTAAAAAATGTATGTCATTAGCATCATAGGATGTGGAGTTGAAATGGCCCTCACAAAAGGTGGGATCCAGGTGAGGAATGTGACATACCCAGTGAGATGAAGAAAACTGCTCAAAGGCACAAAGGTAGCATAAAATAGATGAAAAGAGGCAGGGTAAAGTGGCACCCTGGACACAAGGTCCAGAAGTAAGGAAACAAGCAGTGATTAAGCACCTACTGTGTGCCAGGCCCCGGCACTTTGTAAATATGATCTTACTGGATCCTCACAACAACCCTGTAAGGTAGGGACTATTATTATCGCACGTATCAAGAGCTGAGTTCAGCAATGCAAGGACCTAAGACATCTCCAAAGGTCTCATGATGGAAAATGCTATCCACATCCAGAGAAAGAACTATGGAGTTTGAATGCAGATCAAAGCATACTATTTGCTCTTTTTTTCTTCTGTTTTGTTTTGTTTCCTCTTTCTTATGTTTCCTCCTATTGGTTCTGATACTTCTTTACAACATCACTAATGTGAAAATATGTTTAATAGGAATGCATATGTAGAGCCTATATCAGATTGAGCATTGTCTTGGGGAGGGAGGGGGAGAAAAACTGAAAACTCAAAAACTTATGGAAGATTGTTGGTAACTCGAAATAAATTAATTAAAAAAAATAAATCAAAAAAAAAAAAAAAAGTTGAGTTCAAATTCCAACCCTGACATTTGCTGCCTGTGTGACTTTGGGTCAGTCTTCCCCTCTGTGTACCTCAGCCTCTGCACCCCCTCCCAGGTCTCTTGCAGCTCAGAATCCAAGACCCTAGGATAAGTGGCTTCCTCAGTCTTCTCAAGCAACAGGAACACCGGACTAAAAGCTTGCCAAGGTCCCTTCTAGCGCTCTGGCACCCTGGCACCAACTGCCTCTTGGACAATTCAAATCATGGCCTGTTCACACCAGAGAAAAGCTTTTCCAGAGCCAGCCTTCAGAAGGAAAGCCTCGCTGAACTTATGCCAGTGTGAGGAATAGCCAGGAGGCCAGTGTCACTGGACTGAAGAGTATGTGTTGGGGAGTGAGGTCTAAGAAGACTGGAAAATGAGGAAAGGGCAGGTAATGATGGGCTTTGAATACCAAACAGAGCATTTTATATTTGCTCCTGAGTTTTTTGAGTAGGGGGTGACATAGTTGGACCTGAAAATCACTTTGGTGGCTGGAGGATGGAATGAGGTCAGGAGAGACATGAGGCAGGCAGCCCCCCACCCCCCAACTGAGTTATTGCAGTAGCGCAGCTGTGAGGGGATGAGGACCTGTACCAAGGTGGGGGAAGGGTCAGAGGACAGAAAAGGGTATATTGGAGATGATGCAGAGGTGAAACTGACCAGAGATGTCACAGAGGTGAAATTGACAGGCCTTGGCAATAGCTCGAGCTCCTCCAGGGCAGGGACTGCCTCTTGCCTTTTTCTGTATCACCAGTGCCCAGCACAGTGCCTGGCACACAGTTGGCACTCAATCATTGCTTGCTGACTTGACATGAGGCTGATTGCAAGCCTTGGTTAGGAGGGAGCTTAGTAATTTATTCCAGATCCAAATACATATAGACAGACTTAGGAGAAGGTGGCCTGGCCCTGGCCTGCTCCCTGGGCACCAAGTCCTACACTTGTATCTCACCCACAGTTTACCCTCATCAAGAGGTTCCTTCTTGGTTACCACTTGATAGCCCATACATAAGTCATCATGCACAAAGGAACCCAAGTCCTCAAGGGCAAAAACAGCTCAATGAGACCACCTGCAAATAATTCTAAACTCCAAAAGGGTCTAAGCTCCAAAAAGAAGTAGCCTTGCGGTCTCATGAATATGCCAGATGAGTATTTTCTTAACATTATCAACTGTTACTGACAGACAATGGGGAGAGGCAGTGGGCTGAGATCTGGCCTCCAAGCCACCACAAACAGGGTTGCTCTGCTTCTTCTGCCTTGGTCACATCCTGGTCAAGGGAACCTGGGCAAGCGCCTGGACTCCCAGGCAGAACACCCTGCTCTGAGAGTGAGCAGGACAAAGGAGGACCCACGTGGACCATCCTCTGCACCAATAACATCCACCCCCAATGAGTGACTCTTCCTGACTGCAGCAGGGTAAGGCACACACAATTCACTGTAAAGCAGAACTGAATTCTCATCTGCAGAAGGAAGACAAGGAGATTTCAGCTAGTCCACACACTTTGCCGACTGAGCAGATGCAGGAGCCTTCCCTGAGCAGGGGCTTTACAAACAAGCAGCAGACAAAGGCAGGCCCGTGGCCTCTCTCCCTCGGGCAGGTGTCCAGGGTGTGGCTGAGAGTCACTCACTCAAGGCTGGCCAGTTGCCTGGGCCCTTACACACGCCTGGTTGGGAACAGGAGGGAAGATCTGAAGGTTGGGTAGCAGGGTTTCATCTTGGGTTTCTGGGCACAAAAAGGGGAAGCAAACACTGGACTCAGAGGAAGGGATGATGATTTCTGGACCATATCTTTAAATACAGATGAGAAGGCCAAGTATGGATGGAGGGCTGCTAATGAAGGCCAGTTCACCCAACCTTTACCTCACCTCTCCCAAAGCGAGGTTCAGGCCCTCAGCTTCTCTAAGCTTCCTGCAGCAGCCTTTTCTAAGTGGCCTCTCTGCCTCAGGTCCCTCTCCCCTCCAGCCCAGATGACTCCCCGACTCCTGAGGGGTGGATTTCCCCTAAGCTCACATCTGACCATGGGAGTCTGGCCCCAATCCCCATCCCAGGCTCAGCAATGCAGCTACACTCTCTTGGCCATTCCTTTGCGTACCTTTGCACTGACTGCGCCTCATGCCTTCCTTCCTTGGCCTCCAACACAGCTCAAGCACCAGGCTCAGCATGAAACCTTTCCTGTTAGTGCCCCCTACCAGGCCACCTTGGACTATGCCACTCTGTTTTTCTATGTACCCACTGTCTCCCTCCTGAGAAGGCTCCCTCCTTGCACACGAAGGCATTGATTTATTCTTGGCACATTTACTTCCAGCACATATCATGGTGTCTGGTGTGTGTACGTATACATATACACTCAAACATGCATGCATACGTGTAAACATGTGTATGTACAGAAAAACAGAGGAAAGGGCATATGGACTCTTAGCAAATGCTATGGATCCCAGAGAAAGTGTTTGGCTAGAGTCTTCTAACTTGTTAAAGACCAAAAAACAAAGTGGAAAGAAAAAAACCACCTGGCTCTCCACTAGGTTACAGACCTAGTTGTGAGAAGACCCGACCCCAAATGCCTCTGATGTCTACAGACAGGGAAGGGGCAGAGTCTATGAGAATCTAACCAAGGCGATAACTGGATCTCGTGGTGTCCCTGAGACTTGGAGGGTGAGGAGTACCTCTCAGTCCAAAGGAAGTGAACAAGTACAAGGTGGGTGGATGAGAGGGGGAGGGGATTTAGGAAGCACAAGAGAGGGCACGTGGGGGCAGAGACGGAAGGGAGATCATCGGACCTCACTAAAGACCACAAGAGAAGAGCCTTGGCCTGGCCCAGAGGGCTGCCAGACTTCTGCTGGAAACCTCTCTCTGCCCAGAGCAGAGTGGCTAAGGACTTCTCAACTTATCCTGATGATAATCTCATGCCTCAAAAGGAGAGGAAAATGCTAGTGCCCAAGGGGGAAAGCCAGCGCTCTCTTTTAGAACATGTGACTGAGGGAGAGCCAAGGTTCTGAGAAGGGACAGGCAGAACTCCAGGGACCAGAATCTTCCCCCAGGAGGGAAGGGCCCTTCTCAAGAACCCAGTCCTGATATGGGAACGAGAAACCACCTGAAGTGAGAGGAAAAGGGGATCAGTCACAGTGAATGACATGGACGACAGGCTAGGGGAAGGGAGCCACCCTGCTCTCTGGTCTTCCCCTCTGCCAAGTACAGGTGGCCTCTCATCTGTCCCTCATCTCCAAGTCCCTGCTTGGTCTCACAAAGGGCTTGGGCACAAGAGTTAATGCTGTTTTCATATTTATATACATTCTGTACTCTGCTCTTTTCAGGATGGATATAAATACAGTTCCTTCTTTGTAGGAACTTTTATTCTAAGGTCTTGATGGATATAAATGTGCCATCTAAATTTCCTTTTGAATTTATTTCTTATTGAGTCATTTCAACAAGCATTTATTAAATACCTACAATATGCAAGGCACTGTGCTTAGCCATGAGCATAAGAAGACAAAACAAAAAATAGTGCTCGTGGCCCTCAGCTTCTCTAAGCTTCCTGCAGCAGCCTTTTCTAAGTGGCCTCTCTGCCTCAGGTCCCTCTCCCCTCCAGCCCAGAGGCAGAGAGAGGCTCCCTTCTCAGAACACCATCTGCTTGCCTCTCTGTCTTGGAGGAGCCCGAGCTGATTCCGGGGATGGGCAGGAAGGGCCCCAGCTCCTCTGGCTGTGCTCTGTCCTGTTTGGTCCCCAGGGGCCAGCAGGACTTCATTCACAACAGGTCAGGCCAGAGCAAACACATTCTCCTCTGGGGACGAGACAATGCTGGAGGTGGAGCTTCTCATGCCACCCTTACAGAAAGATGGTGAGAGGTTCCACGACCACCTCAGGGGTCGTTACTGGCAGAGGTCTCCACTAGAGGCTCCAAGGACCATGCCTGACCTCGCGTTCCTCACTAATTTTATCAATGTCCTGGCTGGGGTTACCCCAGGGCCCCCTGTGAAGCTTGCACACGGCACAAAGCATGGAGGGAGAGCTAACACACCGAATGACAGCTAACATGATGGACCCACTTAGCCTCGGCGTATTCAAGGATGTTTCAAGTACTCGATAGGGAAAGACATGGGATCCTGGTAGTTGGCGAGCTCAAGAAAGCTGCTCCAGGAGACCTGCCAGGAGTCGCGGAGCAGGCAGCATCAGGATGGGGGCTCTGGCCAGGCCACATGGACCACAGATATCCTCAGCTCTAGGCTTCCCACCTCAGAGAAAAGGGCAGGGGAATGCCGGCTAAGTGGCAGCTTTGAGGAACTCCACAGGTTTGCCTCATCCAAGAGAAGGCTTGGGCTGAGATGCCAGGGTTAGCAAACATGGGAAGAGCTGTCTAGGCTGGAAGAGGGCTGAAGACAAGGAGCAAGGGATGCAGGTTTAGGCAAGAGGCCTGGTAAAGCATCCCATCAAGGAGAGGGGCCCCAGGTGGGATCAGCAGGTGAGCAGCCCCCCCCCCTTCCCCTGGGGAGAGCTTTGAGCAGAGCTCAGACAGGCCCCAGAGGGGATGGCCTCCCATTCCTGACCCAACAAGCCTAGTGACCCTGCCGTAAGGTTACCCAGCTTAGCCTGTTGTAACTCAGGCTTTCCCTCCTAAGCCAACAAACAAAAGGAGAAAAGAAATATCACAGCCATGAAGACAAGATCCACCCACAGCGAGCCTGTGTCCTGGATGCTGAGCAGTCACATCACCCAGGATGGCAGCCCGAAGGGCCCTGGGCCAGCCTCCACTGAGCAGAGTCTGAGACCTGGGGGAGGCAGAAGGGGTCACAGAGGAAAAGGGATGTGGCGAGAATGATCTGGAGATGGAAGGGGCCAGAGAAGCTACCAAATCCAGCAGAGAAGGGCCAGAGTGCAAAGGGACTTGGGATGCCAGTTCAACCAGGGGGTGCTGCTCATGGGCGAACACTGACTAAGAGGGACTGGAGTCCAGCTCCTCTTTGGCCAGGCCCAGAGCTTGGCCGCTGCACCAGCTCTGGTGACCTCAAGCCAGCCTCCTCGTATGTAACTAGGCCTCAGCCCCTCAGCCATGCACATGAGGGCCTCCCAGCTCGGATGCGCCGTGACCTGCTGGGGTCAAGGGAGCCCTCACTCATGGTTCTATTGCCACTATTAGACAGTCAGTTGATCAAAATGTATTACGTGCCTACTGTGTGCCAGGCACTGGGCATCAGCTCCCATCACCAGAGGGAAGGCGCAGCGTGACGCTGGCCCCAGCGGGAAGAAGGCCCAGCGCAGGCCTAGGCCGTTACCTCGCGTCTCTCTGCGTCTCTCCTCCTCTCCTCCTCCCTCTGCCTCTCCAGCTCCCTCTGCTTCTCCAGCTCAAGCTGCCGCCTCCACTCGTGTTCCTGGAGCAGCCGCTGCTTACGCTCGAGCTCCTCCTTCTCTTTCTGCGCCTTACGCTCAGCCTCACGCTGCTGCTGCTCCAGCAGCACCTGCCGCCGCTTCTCCAGCTCCAGGTTTCCTCTCTCGTAGTTTGCCTTCCGCTTGTCCTCAAAGGTCACTAAACGGGTGACACCGTGGTGAATGCCTAGAAACCCCCAGCTCCCGAGCCTCCTTGTCTCTCCCTCCTACAGGACAGGGGACCCTCCTCTGACAAGAAGGATGCTGGCAGGACGGATCTGTCCGAAAGGGAAACAAGGGCCTGAGTCAGGCTGCAGTTTTTTCCTGGATTTCTCTTCAGACGCCTGGCTGCCAGGGCTGGGAAGCTAGAGTGCTCCGTGTGGGCCCAGTCTGACGGACCTCCCCCTCCAACAAGGGCCCCCGCACAGGCCCCTTCCGCCAAGCCACCTCAGAGACTCTCCTGAGACCTCGGGGGCCCTGTGGCAAGGTCTCACCTAGTCCTGCACAGAGACTAACCCCATGAACCCCACCCCAAAAGGGTCGTTTCAGCACAGAACATGACTCAGACAGTTCCCTGGTACCTGGTAACTTCTTCTGGGGTGGCTCTTCTTGGGTTCTCTCGTGACAAGGCTGAGTTCCATTAAGGGAATCAACAGGCTTTCCTCCTCTAGAAAAAATTAAAGGCAGCTGGGAAAACTCTCTGAAGTGGAATTTTATGGAAAGCATCACGGGCTGGGCTTCTGGACAAGAAAGGCCACCTCGGCACTGAGATGTTCACAATCAGGGAGCAGAGTCAGGGGATCTTTGCTGGGCAGAACACATCCACGTGCCCAGTCATGCAGAGTATTTCTTAAAACCCTCCCCTTCCCCAGCTGTGTGCCCACAGCGCTCTTCTCCCTGCCTCTCCTTCCAGCTGACTGAGCAGCGCTTGGCCTGCTCCTCCTGTTCTCAAAGGGCCTCGCCCTCCTCCACTTCTCCTCTTCTCTGCTCTGAGGGACCCGTTCATCATCCCTGTGTGGACATACACTCCTGCCAGCTCTGAACAGGGTCCTCTCCTCTCTCCCAAACTCTCCCCCAAACTCTCCCCCAAGTTCCCCTTGTTTCCCCTCTGCGGAGGTGCCTTTGGTGACAGGCAGATTCACAACGGACATCTTCCTGTTTCCTCCTCCCCTGGAGGAATGAAACCATCTCTTGGGCATGTCAAGACAGAATGGGCTGAGAGCCCAGATGGCAGGTGTCCAGGGGCGAGCAGTCTGCCCCAATGCTATCTCTGTTCCTGCCTGTTCTCCTCGGTTCCTGCCCCCTGTCCCAAGAATCACAGAGGGTCAGCTCACAGGGCATGCCTCCAGTAACAGACTGGAAAATGGCCTCCAGACCAGTTGTGGCTCTTCTTTCCTTAGGCCTCTCCCTAATGTGGCCAGCCTCTCCTCCTGTGCACTGGTGTGCCTGGACATAGGAGAGCAAGGGTGAAATGCCCAGCTCCTTCCTTCTCTGAGCTTCTGGCCCCTTCTCTCGTTTCTCCCTGCATCTAACCAGACTCACCCAGGTACCTTCCTCCAGCTCTGCATTTTACCAAGACACCTGTAAAATGGGACTCCCAATCTTCCGCCTCTCCTGACTTTCCAAGTTCTGCAGGTAGGACCGTAGCAGTCTCTAAGTCATCCACCCTCAAACTTCTGTTCTGTCTCCCCCTCATGGCCCCTGAACTGCCAATCTCCACCTACATGACCTCTACAATTCCTTTCACTACCACCCCATCCTCGAGGGGCTGCAGAGAAGAGTCAGGAAGTCCTGAGTTCTAATCCTGCTTCAGAGTTCCCCCACCTGACAGCCACTGTATTACTTGTATCATCTGCTGACTGACAAACAACCATATTACTCCAAATGAAAAGCATTTAGCATGAACAAAATCAGCACAGCACAAATTAAGACAACTAAGTTAACAGGTAAAAAAAAAGTCTTCAGAGTAAACATCCCTGAGAAAGGTCAGATATCCAAGATATATAGAAAGCTGATAAAACCATATAAGAATAAAAACCATTCCCTAAGAAAGAAGTGGCTAAGGTGCAATCAGGCAGTTTTCAAAAGAAAAACAAATGTGTGCTACTGGCCACCAAATAAAGGAATGCTACAATCATCAGCCACATAAACAGACATAAAAACAACTGTGCAGTTTCACATCCATCACACTGGCAAAGATGACAGAACGTGGGATGCCCTGGGGGGACTCGGGGTCTGGCCATTCTGGGAAGCGCGCTAGAATTCTACTCACAGAGTCACTCAAGCATAAACCTCTGACTCAGCGACGCCACAACCAGGCATGGACCTTGCCTTGTACAAAAGTACCTACCGCAGCCCTTTCCACAACAGCAAATCCTGGAAACGGGCATTAAGTCTGACGGAATGCTGCTAAACCCTAAGAAAGTACGAATGTGAAAAACCCAGACCAAGCAGGGGACTGGCTGCGCTCACTTATTACCTGGAAGGATCCTATCGGGAGCTTGGACAGCCACTAGGAAGGGATGAGGATGTTAAAATGGGAGCCCCCAATCAAGCTCGGACTGCTGCCACTGAGGCCAGGACAGCATTCCTTTGAATCCACATCCACTAAGATGAGAGATAAGATGGGAGACATGCTGGAGAACCAGCAGAGGGGCAGTCAGCTAGCCAAGGAGCCAAGAAAACCCGGGTTCAAGTCCCAGCCCTTACACATACTCTGCCCCAGCAAGTCACAGCCTGGCTCAATGAGATGCTGATGTGCATTCGTCCTCTGCACCCCAGAATCCCAGCTTCAGCCCCTATCGCCATGAGAAAGCGGAATGACTAGAATACATCACTCTGTGGCCCCCGAGGTGTCCATAGCCCACAGCGGAGCAACCCTGGAACCTTTCCTCTGCGTCAACCACTCAACTCCCGCCGTCAGCTGTGGAGGCACACCTGAAATGTGGTGCCCACCTCAGCTCTACCTGTGGTCACTGGGCCAGTTCCCTCATCCGCCCCAGTCATGCTATGCCCCCACAGACTGGACGGTTCTTCTCAGCTGCCACTTTGGCTTGTCCCAGTGGGCTCACTGCCATCACTACCACTGCCCTTCGACAGTTAGGTCTTATAAGCCTAACAGTGATTCAGTACCCACCAAGACAGATTAAATTAACCTCCTGTGCCATGTGACTGGTCACTACTGTGATGACCCTGCAGTAAGTCTGTCCCTCACTGATGGAGGCCTTGCCTCATGCAATGTCCATCACAAACCCCTGCCTCCCCTCCAAACCTCTGTGAAGATCCTCCAGCACGCTCAGGCCTGGGATGCCTGAGGGCTGGCACCTTGTGCTATTGCCGGGTGACCTCCACACATCTCGGATACAGCCTAGACTGCTTCAGGGTTAGAAAGGGGCTGCCCCTAGTCTGTACCCACAATGAGTCTCTCTCCTTCTGTCTCCCCATTTCTCATCCGTCTCTGTCTCCGTATGTCTGTCTCTCACCATCTGGATTCGCTCAATGGTGGTGTTTCATGATTCTAAGTCATAAAGTATGGCCAAAAGAATTCTGAATTCAAAAGACATTTGTTAAGGGCCAATCATGCGCCTGGCCTTGGGAGTATGTAGACAGACATGAAATGGCAACTGCCTTCAAATGGCTTATATTCCACCACAGATACACTGGACAGATGAGCACATCAAGAGTGAGGACAAAGTACATTTTGAGGGGTGTGTGCTGTGTGGGGCAGATCACTAACACCTCTGATGGTCAGTCAACTCGGCCCCTTGGGTGTTTTATGGAGAGCGTCACCCAAATGTGGACCCCCCCCCCCACATTACTGAACCTCACCTCACTCAAGAGGTTCTGCAGTGTTGCCCTGGCAACAGCCAACTGCCACGTGTCTGGTTCACTCACCTGAAAGGAGGCGGCACCAGCTCCGGAGGCAAGGTCAGAGGCAACGGCTGCCCAGCTCTGGCCATGTCGGTCAGATGCATGGCCAGAATAAACTCTTCCGCTTTGAGCTGACCATCTCCATCCACATCGGCCAGGTTCCTGAAGGAAATAGGGGTTCAGGTAAATCAGGTAAAAGGAGGAATCACAAGAGGGGTGACAACATCAACAAAACAAAGAAGCTGCTGCCCTCCAGGGACGACCCCTCCTGGCGTCCAGCCTGTTATTACTACTGTTTTACAGCCCGAGAAGCCTGAAGCCTGGTGCCCACGGCGACTCGGGCGTCCAAGGAACAATGAAGGAAAACAGTTTTACTTCCTTTCCAGCGGCTACACAAACCCTAAAGGGGTGCAGAGCACACTCAGCTTTGGTCTCAGCCTCTCCAGTGCCCAGGACAGCGCTCTGCCCAGCCTGGCACCTCCTGAGCATGCCGAGAAAGTCAAGGTGGAATTGCTTTTCAATGCCTCCTCTGAAAAGTCTGGTGGACAACGCCGTCACTAGCCACAAAGCCTCCAAGCCCAGCTAGGCCTGTGGGCCAACCCCCTCGTTTCCAAGAGAGAGCCCAGGGCACCTGGCAACCAGCTCCCTGAACATGTGGAGAAAATGGAGTCTAAGGCAACGGGTTCAAATATCTATCAATTCTGTGACCTCATCCCTCTGAGATGGGATTTTATCAAGGGAGTTTTCCGGGTGCTTTGATGTCAAGTGAGGGGGTTGGCTTGGTGGTACCCCTAAGATACTTTACAAAAACAAAATGCTACTGATACAAAGAAATCTCAAAGACTCTGCCCCTTTCAAGGCTCAAGGCCTCCCCTTTGTGTGGGATTTAGGAAGGCATGACATCCCCTGAGCCTCCCATTAATAACCAAACTCACCAGATCGTAGCCAGCTGGGTTTGAGAAAGATTGGACTGGAGAAGAGCGTTCCGAGCCTGGAGACCTAGCGCATAGGGGAGAGGAGCAGAACATGGCATTAAGGTCTAGAGAACTCCACCCTGGCCTGGACAATACCTCAGGCTAAACCCAAGAACGTGCCCCCAGAGGCCATAGGCCTGGCTCCCTGGGGAGAGACAAAGGGCCAGCAACAGCTGTGGCCCAAGGGCAGAGGCAGGCAAACAAAGCCAACTGCCCTGGGCCACCTCGGCTGAGTGTAGGTGAAAACCCAGGCTCCTTTGCCAGGATGCCATTAGGAAGTCTGGCCATCACCTGGACAGGTATGTGCCAGGTCAGAGGAAGAGGCACTGGCTTTGCTCCCTTGGCATCTCCTGGAGACAATGTGGACTAGAACCTTCAGAAAATGGCTGTGTCAACCTGGCCCCTACCCCCACAGCAAGTGGACAGGGACGACCCGGCCAGGCCCAGCGAGCTACTGTCCTACATCTACGTCCCTTTCTCACACTCCTCAGCACATGGACCTCGCCTCACACCCTGGCATCCGCCTGCTCTCACAAGGCTCACCTTCACTTCACCCTGCTTGACCTCTCCCTTCTGGACATTTTCTCCTCCCCTGGCCGCCCCTTCCCACACGCCAGGCCACTAACTAGGAGTGACCCCAAGGTCTACTAGGTTCTCTTTTCTTTCTATGTCCCTGCACCCAGTACAGTGCCTAATATAGAATAGGTGGTCAGGGAATTCTGGTTGCCTTCAGCGTGTCATGTCGTCAGTGCCCCAGGCTTAACTATCTCTCTGCCTAGCCCCTGCCTCTTTCCTAGGCTCATAAGAAATAGCCAGCAGGGATCTCTGACTCCCTCACCACCCTTCTGTCTAGGGCACCCCCATCCTTTCAGCTGTCCAGTTTTGCCCTCAGCCTTTCTCTCTGCCTGCCTCTACAACGCCAGCCAGAGCCTTTCACTTCATCTACTCTTCTGTCACCTTCACTCCTTCCCTGGATTCCTTCAATGCCTGCCCCCCCCCAAGGGCTCCCTCATCAAGGGTCTGACCTGATCACCCCATGCTCAGTTGCTCTTAAAGCCCTGTCCAGTCTGGCTATAGCCCCTCTTTGGGGGGGGCACTGCAGTGTTCAGTCCTGTCCCCCCACCTCCACACCCCCAGCTGGTGGAAGGCCTTCCATCTCCTTCAGGGTTCCGCTCAAGTACTGCATCCTACAGGAAACTCAACCCAATCCCATCCCCTCCCCTACAAAAGACTGAAGATATCTGGCATGTGACTTTCATATGTACCTGCTGATCTCGGCCAACAGAATCAGGGACTCTGGCTTTTTATTTCTCTGCATTCCCTGCGCCTGGCCCACAGCAGGCACCATACTAGTATGAAGTAGAAGCCTCCACACAGCTCCCCAAACAAGCTTAAGGGGCAAAGGTCTGGCTGCGCCCTTCCCCTCCCCCACAACTCACTGCCTGGAGGCTAAAAGACAAACCTCCCAGACCCCGGGTGCAGTCAGAGGCCCGAGGGCCTGGAACAAACCATTTCTAAAGCCCCTCGTATCCTCCAGGGAACCTTCCCCCTTCCACTGGGAATGAGGGAGGAAAAGGGAGGAGGGGGTGTGTGGGAGGTTGGCCAGGGCAGGGTCACAACTCTACATGCTGGAGAAGGGACTCCATGGCATCTGTCTGGGAAGGGCACGGAGGGCCTTTGATGCCAGTTCTGGAAGCTCTGATCACTCCCGAAAGGGTCCCAGGCTGCCTGATGGCTCACTGCTGGTCCTCTCTGCTGGACAGTCACCGCCCTTCTCCAGCTCCTCAAGGATGGACTCGAACCTGAGTATGGCAGTGCCCGGCCCTCATCTCTTCGCCCTCTACGCGCCCTCCTGAGTCCCATGGGTTCAATCGCTAGTATAATTCAGATTTCAACAGCAGTCCTAAATTCTCCTAGCAATGACCTGCTGGAGAGCTCTCCCCAAAGTTCTGTGGCACCAATAAAAGACAACCCTCTTTTCTCCCCAAAACAAACTCCCTGGCTGAGGATGCCAACACCCTTCGAGTCACCTTGATTCTTGCCTCTTCTTTGCTTCCTATACCCATGTAGCTGCAGAGACTCATTGATTCTCTTTCCCAAGCACATCCCCCATGCACTACTCTCACCTGGTACCTGCCAAAGCTTCCTATCTGGTCTCCCCAAATCACTGATGGGCTCCCCACAGCCTCTAAAGTAAAACACAGGAACCTTGGCCTAGCTCCCCTTCACCCACATTCCACTCTGCCCAAACTGGCACACAGCTACTCTCAGTCAATCAGCAGCTAGCTCCTATCTGCCAGGCACGGTGCTGGGCGCTCTCTAGAGAGAAGGTGGTGTTCCATGCCGTGAGGATGGAAAGGGAGGATGGGGCCGGATGAGGGGCTTCTCTAAAACGAGATGCTTGGCATAGTGCCCAGAGCTCAGAAAGTGCTTCAGAAAAGCTTACCCCCCTTCCTTCTCTGGCCCCTCCTCAGGCTAACAGGAAGCCAGCCAGACTTGCGCGTCAGTAGCCATGGGAGCACCTGGGGCTTTGGTGCTCCATTTCCCCCTTTCCTCACCTTTACCCTGGCTGTCTCCTTCCAAAGCTCATTCAGGGCTACCTCTAACACTAGGCCATTCCATATGCCCATCCAGGTGTCAGGATATAAATCAGGCCTAGTACCCCTGTCAGAGCAATATGGGCTTCTCAGAAGGCCATTGTGGCCTTTGAGTACCTAGGAACCCTTGGCCAAGGTCCAGTAGAGGCCCTCCACCTCACAATGTGCTGAACAGATTCCCAATCTGACCTCCGACTCCCTGGATCAAAATGAGGCACCTGGCTGTGTACGATGAAATTCTGACAAAGGAGTCACATCATCATTTTAAAGAAAACGACATTTAAATGTTCAGCTCCAAAAAGAGAGCCCCACCGTCTTCACCAGGCCAGCCTTGCTCACCTGACAGGTAGCCTGTCATGCCTTTATCCAAGCTGTTGAACTTCTGGCGGTACTTCAGTCTCGAGGGCTGCGGGACGGCCCAGTCAGAGGTTCCAGCTTTCGGCGAGCCCCCCGTCAGAGAAGCCGTGGAGGACGTGGAGCTGCAGGGAAGAGAAGCAGGGAAGCTGTGTAGCAGCCCTCCCCATGCGGGCCCAGAGGTAAGGGCCAGCTCCCGAGGCTCGAGGCTCGAGGCTCAGACAGTGCTGGAATGGCCACATGCTCAGGAGCCCAGACTCTGCAAGAGAAGCCTGTCAGAAAGGAGGGCCTAGAGGGGAGGGGGAGGGCAAGTGTCCGCCCTGATGGGTGACAGCACACTAAGCAGAATCGATCAATGAAAACAGGACATTCATGTCCAAACGTCTTCAGACACCCTGTGATTGTTTGATGTGGTACATACTTTTAGGAGCTTTCAAACATTTCCTGGACAACAGCTGGACAAGAGACCTCAAGAGTAATGATGTTTTATTGTAGGGATGGGGTCTTGTAAACAGACAGTGTTTTTTTCCTATGCAAAATTTAAATAGTACGTTGACACAAAATTAACCTGCATAACTACTAAAGGTTTTGGGAAAAGTGTCTTGGGGGTTGGGTTTTTCGGGGAGTGGAAGAGGGTACAGAGCCACCCTCTCTTTTTTCCAATCTAAAATGACAACTCAAAAATGTCAGAGCACAACAGAAAGCCCCAGTGCTCCATTACCGGCCGCACTGCTATCACCACAGAAGACCAAACGGGGACTTGGGGACACTCAATGCCTGGAAGAAGCCCTCAGAGAAGGAAAACGGGGGCACCGAGGGCCTCACAGAGCTCATACCTGCTCGATCCCAAGTCGATCAGGGACTGGGCCTTCTGGATACAAGAACCCCCAAAGCTGCCCATCAAAAGACCATAGGATGATGTGTGAGGCAAGGCTGAAAGAAAGAAGCAGCAGGTGTGTCCTTGCTGGACGCTCCCCAACAGGGACCCCCAAACGCCACCCAGCCACACTCCACGGCACTTACTGGCTGAGGAGAAGGGGGCAGCCATGGGCTGGAGCAGAGCAGCAGTTCCATTGGGCAATGATGATGTACTAACGGAGGGCACCAGGGGGGCGGGCATCCCCAAGGGAGGAAGGGAAGTGACGGAAGGCCTTGAGGACACAGGTGCCATGGGTGCGGCCGGGGGCACACACTGAGGGATGGACAGGTTGGGCATGCTTCCCATTCCTGTGGGGGACACACCAGACCTCTGGTGAGACTGACTGCTCTCTGCTCATGACTCAAACCCTAAGAGAATGATGCATTTCTAAAGAGCGGCCCAAAGCCACCGCCGCAGACCCCGGCCCCTGGAAGGGAGCCGAGCCCTGCACGGGCTCATCTCTGACACCCTCGCCCTCGCCTGCCTGATAAGGCTATGTACACTCCATCCTCCACCAAATGTTCTCTTCCTCTCAAGGAGTGTTCTGGACTCCCTACAGCAGAACATGGTGCCAGGGGATGCCCCAATGGTTGCCTGTACACAGGCAAGCCCTCTATGCAAAGGCTAGGCCCCGCAATTACTTTCTCTGCCGAGAGCTGCTCATAGGAACAGGGATGCCTCAAAAGGACCATTCATTTCGCTGGCTTTGGGATACAGTGAAGGACAAGTGGAATGTAAAAAGAACTGGTTCAGTTGAACAAAGGGTGTGGCCAACATCTGTGCACAGGACAGAGGGGCTGGAATGAACCAGAAATCACCCAGTGCCATCTTCCTAATTTCCAAAGGGAGAAAGGAGAGCAGAGGCTCTAGGAGATGCACAAACACACAGAAGGGCAGACAGACAAGCCATCTCCATGCGCAGGTGTGGGTGCGAGGGCTGGCCACCCTTTTCAGAAAGGAGCATGGAAGGACATGGTGGCTGGTCTTCTGGACTCTGTGTCCAGTCCTAGGAGAGGATAAGAGTCTCTCGGATTGGCTTCTTACAGAAGGGAGGAAAAATGGGGCATGCCCTAAGAATGATGCCAGGCTCACCCATGACCCTGACGGGGAAGAGCCACCATACCCTGGCAGAGCTGGGGGCTGCCTTCTCACACAAGAGTCAATGGCTTCAAGCAAGGCCTTTGCGTCTTGGGCACGAGACGGCCTAGGACATTTATGGAAGATCTCTGTGGGGAACACGCGGTCAGACTCTCCTCATGGGCTCACTCTAACTCTTCACTATAAGTAACTGATGGGTGAGGAAGGGGGCCCCAGTGCCCCACCATGCTTACTATGCCGCCTTGTACAATGACTATCACTATCGAGTGAGGTCTAAAAGCAATGGATGCTCGCTGAGGTTTCTGCCAAGCCCCTGGAGACCCTGAGGATGAGGCTTGCCCACTGGGGGCCGGGCTGCTCACTGAGTCACTGTGGCGGCAGCCTATGTGACCATGGGAGTTTCTGTACAGTGCTGCCAGGTGCCAACCCTGGGGTGACGACACAGGAGGCCAGGACTGAGGGCAGTCAACCGGGTCCCTGTGGGACTGAGCCGTGGTCCCTGCCCACCGGATGGGTTCTCCGGGAACAAGGTTCAGCAAGCCAAGCCATGCATGGCCTTGGCTCCGTGGGGAGAAAGGCTCCCACAGAAGCGGCAGGTTCTAGTTGACGGCCAGCAGCAGACCTGCTCAAAGACTGAGCACGTCTGAAGACCCCCGGAAGACACCATCAGCATGAGCTGCCTTCATTAAAGTCCTCACTACTTTGGGCCCCCAGGTGATGGCTGGAAACAGTCTGTGGATGTTCCAGGGCTGTCTGACTCCATGCACTGTGGGCCCTACATAAGACATGGCGACAGCTGGATGTAAGAGGGTGGTCACTGGTCTTGTTTTTTTTCTGGCAAACCTTTCAATGGGAACGCTGGGGTCACGGCTGCTATTTGGGAGCAGAGCTCTGTAAGGAATGATACCACTGGGGAAGGGACCTCCTTGCCACCCACTGGCTGCCTAATCCTGACCCTAACCCTCCCTGGGGGGGACCAGATGGTGCCCAAGACTCCTTCGAGCCAGGCCAGGCTCAGATCCACTGAAATGGGCAGATTTGAGGGGAAGTGTAGCCAACGGCATCCCCAGCTACCAAAGCGCGCAGACGCCAAGGGGGAGAACACAGGCGGCTGCTTCATGACAGGAGGCAATGACGGAGGCAGGCGCTGCCCTTGGAGCGTCAGTTTAATGAGCTTCATGGCTATGGAGAACTCCTGCTGGTCCATCTTCCCGTCTTTATTCAGGTCTGATAACGCCCTGAGAGCAAAGAGAAAAGGAGTTTACTTAAGAAGGGCGTGACAAGAGAAATGTGCTCTGTACCTACTTTGTCCTTAGAGTTAAGGGTTCAATGACGCCAAAGAACAACTGTTAACAACACTGACAAGAGAAGGGGCATTTCTGCTTCCTCGTGGCAGCCCCCCACCCTGCTCCCAAGCACCGGGGCGCCTTCTTGACCCCCAACCTCAACCCCCACTGCGCAGTCCTCGGCGCTGGAGAAACAAAAAGAATGCTCTCACCCGCGCCCAGCCCCCCTGAGGGGCCCCAGGCCACACATCTGTCAGCTGATCCTCATCCAAAGGGACTGAGGTCTGAGCAGCACGGAGGACCAAGAAATGACCATGGCCTTATTTCTGACAGTCTGGCCCCTCTGGACGCAGCCTAAAACTGACGAATCTGTCTCACCTTGTCTTGTGCCGTGCTGTGTCACTGGACAAGGGCACAAACCTCCTGCCTGGGCTGCTTTCTCACACTGTTCACTCAAGACTGAGCTTGGGGTCTACTCAGATTGCCAGAGCCTTCTCAGACAGACCGTTATCTTCCCATGTCATACCTAAAAAGGTGTAAGGACAAGACTTTCCTTTCCCTCTCACTAATTTCATTGCTTTCTATGTGGCCCAATGTTCTGGTCTCAACGGCAGCTGTCCTAGTTTCAAATGCTAATGTGATACTCTACATCATCATCCAAGGTCTTGCTAAAAGTGCCCAAAGGCCTGGGCCAGGCAGATCCTTGGAGCCCTCCACTGGAGACCTTGCTTTGCAGACTCTACTTGCCCCACTGACAACACAGCCTCAGTGTCCACTCTCCGGGTGTCTGCAGGAGCCGGAGCAGGATCAAGGCCACCTCTGTGCTCTCCTTGCCCAGGAGAGGCTCTGCCAAACAAACATGGTGCTACCGTCCAGGGAAACTAGGCCTTTGGCATTAGCTGGAGCTGCCAGTTCAGTGATGCTAACAAAGGAAAGAAGGCTCTTTGGTAGACAAAGCTTCACTGACTGTCCCTTTAATCACGTCCTGGGCCAGGAGTCATGGTGTCCGTTCCTGCCCCTCTTTTGAACAGTAGGACAAATGTAACAGGGAACAATGCATAGTCCAACACAGAACTACGAGAAAAGGGGAGAGAGTGGTACCAAGGATCAGGGGAAAAGGAGCAGGGGGCCATAAGGGACTCCCCCGCCCGGCTGATAGGCTGCTGCAAGGAGGGGCAACACCACCCCCTCCCCCCCAGGACTGTGGGAAGGACCCATTTTTTCTTGGGGCATATTTTGGGAAGGATTGTGGCAAGCTGGAATGCACCCAGCAGAGGGTGACCACTATGGGAAGAACACTTAGAAATCATGCTCCAAGACAGTTAGATTTCCTGGGAATGTTTAGCCTGGGGTCAAAGGGGAGAGGGCAGAGATATGCAAAGATGCAGAAAGAATGTCCCTCTTCAAATATCTGTGTTAATAGGTGAGGTTAAGCCCATGTGACTGGACTTCAGGGGCTGCTACAGCTCAGCCGCAGGGTAGACCTCTACACCTGGATGGACTGACTTGCCTGGGGTCCAGGCCACAGGGGCTGCTCTGGCTGGGGAGGAGATGGCTGGGCCACCGCAGGAAGAGAGAGCTGGCAATGAGTCAAGGCCAATTCTAGGGAAGAACATTCGCTTCCAGCTCCAGGCCCCATGGAAGAGGAGGACCCTGATGCTGCTCTGGGCTACCACAGGTGGGTCTAGAATCAAACAGGAGGAGGAGGAGGAAGAGGAAGAGGAAGAGGAGGGGGTGGGGAAGAGAGGAGGGGGACGGGGATGGGACAGAAAAAAGGAGGACCCTGATGCTGCTCTGGGAGGGCTGAGGACCAGGGTTAGGTCTTTTATCTGAATGGGTCCAGAATCAAACAGGAGGAGGAAGAGGAGGAAGAAGAAGGCAGGGATGACTGTCTTTGGGGAAATGCTCAGGACTTTTGCTGGTCTCAGCTTCTCCTTGAACCAAGGGTCCAACCCATTCCAGCCATGCTCCCCAGCCATGAGCTGCTCAACACCAGGCCCCCAGAGACATTCAGCTGCAGGTCACTCACAGTGCCCTGGAGAGGTATGTGCCAGCGGAGAGAGAGCTGGAACACAGCCACAGAAGAAATGCCATCCAGGATGACCTTGGGGAGTGAGTGACCAGGAGGGGAAAACAAGGGAATCACCAGAGGCCAGCTTGGGGACACTAAACTCATCTAGGCGATGGCAAGAGACCCAGACGGAGGCGTGGGCAGGCTGGAAAGGCGTGAGCAAGGGCGTGAGCATGGCAGGGAATCCTGGGGGGCTACAAGGGGCTGAGCCTCTGTCCAGACACCTCCAGTGAGAGGCAGGCCCATTACACTCTGGGACAACTACTCAGCATGGTTTCGGAGGCCCACCCCATGTGAATATGGGAGCTCTCCTTGACCCCAAACTGGGACCACTTGAAGGCAGCGACTGCCCTTTTTCTGGAGCAGTGACCCTAAGCCCCTTCAAGCCTCCTTTGTCCTCCAACATATGGGCTGCGGATCTTCCCTCCCCATGCAGGGGGCAGGTCCTCCACGATGGCCCTCTCCTATCTCCTCTGGCCGGCTGACCCATGCCTCCTCTCCAGATCTGCTGGCTCTGATGGCCACAAAGGAGGCTAAACCCTTCTTGGGCACTTTCACAGCTGAACTCCTTGCCAAGCCTTTGCCTGCTGCCTCTTGGCTGTTTCTCAGTTTCAAACTTCACTCAAATGTTCCCTGTAAGGTCACCGGGGGCGGCCTTTATGCAGGGCTCGTCCTTTCTAGCCTCTCCACAGCAGACCTCTGACCCCACAGACCGCCATCTTCCTAGAAAGCCTAGTAGTTCTCTGGGGAGGTTCTGCTCCTATTCCCTTTTCATCTTTTTGTTTCATTTCTTCTGGGCACTCTGGCAGTCCCAGGCCTGGCCTTCTCTGAGATCTTCCCTTGGCTTGCTCTCGGGCCACAGCCTTTCTGTACTGGGCTTCACACTTTGTGCTCGGCACATACTCTGCTCCCTCTGGCCCTCGGGATGCAGTGGGCAGACCCTGCTTGAGGCCTGACAGATGCCGGGCTAGGACAAGGGCCACTTTTCTGCAGGAATTCCCCAGTCTCCTGGTTCTGGTTTTGGCCTTGGCTCTTTCTGTGTGCACAGCTCTGAACCTGGCATGCTGCCATCCCAACCCGATGCTGATGACTGGGTGGGCAGCAGGTCCCCACAGTTCGCGACTGCCTGGCCCTCCCTCTGGCTGTGGTTCGGGTGCCTGGACAACGCATCATTCACACGTGGTCTGTCCTGGGCCGCCTTCCATTGACTCTGGCTTCTCTCTGCTTAGAGGTCCCCCAGGGCTCCAGGGATTTGGTGCGCGATCCAGGCTGGCACTGCAGACCTCTGCACTGGGTCTCTGGTTTTCTTTCTGATTGCTCTTTCTGGGGCATTTTTAGCGTTACTGGGCTCCAGGCTGGGGATGTGGTCTCAAGAGCTGCCAAAGACTGCTCATTGCCTCTGTCTGTCCCTTCTACATCAGGCTCAGGTGATCTACAAGTCCAGAAGACCTGCAGACTCCAGGCTTGTACCAAAGTGTTTCTAGGCGTATCTGAATTTGGATTTCCTCTCCTTGAGGGGGAGGGCTGTCTTTGCCTCTCTTTGTATACCCGGTGCTTAGCAGAGCACCTGGCACACAGCAGGCACCTAATAAATGCTTACTACCTGGCTGATATCAAGCAAGGATTAATGGACAAAGGTATGCAAAGAAGACTGGACATTCCCAAGAGGGGGGTAACGAAAAAACCAAGAACTCAGATATGGAAAAGCTATAGAGGGAGGAAAAATTTCTCCAGGAGCTAAAGATGGCAGAATGAGCACAAAAAAAATCTGAAAGATTCTAAAAGTAACTGAGAAATAAAGAACTCTGCAGACAAAGTATGGAGATGGCATACTACAGAATCGGAGCAGCTGCTGGAGGACAGGAAGGGCTCCTCTTCAGAAGACAGGGTTCAGGGGACCGAGAGAGGTTCTCAAGTGTGCCATCGAGGCAGAAATTGGCCAGGAAACTCCTCCCTAGCACTGGTGCTGTCCTGGCAGGGGTGCCCAATGGCCAGAGCTCTCTGAGGGCCCCTCAGCCCCAAAGTTCTGCTGGCATCTTCTGTCAGTCAGAAGAATTTCCTCAACAATAGCCACAATCTCTCCTTTTGGTTTTCAACTAGTACAGTGAAATGCAGGTCCTAACTTGTCTGCTCTAACAAGCTTCATCCGAAAAACAGCAATCACCCATCTCTAAATATTCCAATCAAAAAAGAAAGATGCTTTACCATATTTCAGCTAAAACAGGAGCTGGGAGGCCAGACTGTAAGAAGAAACCACGTGCTTGATCACCTGCAGCATAAACAAGAATGAAAATTAGCCCCTGACCTCAGCAATCAATAGGCCAATTGATACACATTTATGAGTGGTGCTCTGTACCACACACACGGCATAAGGCCCAGAGTACGCCAAGACCAAACCAAAACAAGTCCAGTCTTCAAAGCTCTTGGGGGATGGGTCCTGGAAAGCTGGCAAGACGTGGGCATAACACTGAAGGAAGCCTAGCATCTGAAGAGGCAGAGGCCCAAAGGCCAGGGGGGATGCGTGGGGAGGGGAGGCAGGAGGGAACCAAGGTTGCTGATTAAAGATGGGGGCATGGCACCGCAGTGAGGGACTTGTGTGTAATTATGGACCCCTTGCACAGAATATCATGACAAAGACCTGAGTGCGCATCTACCTTTACACATCCTAGAGGTGTGAGCCCCTCTCTACCTCTGTACCTTGACCTTCCCAGGGGGTGCTAAGGATCAAAGGAGATCCTACTTGTAAAGTGAGCCCACTGCCTGGCACACAGTAGGTGCTTTATCAAGGTGGGTTTCCTCCCCTTTGCCCTTCCCAAAGCAGCCTTCTGTGTAACCAACAATCCACATTTACCCAGAATTTCCTTTATCAGTGGTTCCCAACCAATCTGAGATGGACATCTGGCTGAACCATTTTATAAGTTAGCAAAACAGACTTGATGACAGCCAGTCTCCAGGTAATATACAGAAAGAGGGCATGAAAAACTCAGAGGAACTCAGGGAGCCTCTCGTACAAACTGACACAGAGGGAAGAAAGAAACCCTCTGAGCTCAGCTCATCCACTCCGGGCAGGGAGCTGGCGGACATGGGCAGGCCCGGCCAGATGCCACCACCACAGAGGAGCGAGGTGACGTCAGCAGTGTCCCCACTGACCTGTGATGTGTCCTCCAGCTGGTCGGAGGCTGTCAAACTGTTTATCATGCTTGGTTCGCTCTTCTGAGGTGATCGCCCACATGTTAGGGCCGCCTGAAAACACACAGGGAATTTTTTACAACATGACTAATTTGAAAATATGTTGAACAGAAATGTATCTGTAGAGCCTATATCAGATTGCACACTGTCTTGGGGAGGGAAGCGGCGAAAATTTAAAACTCAAAAGCTTATGGAAGTGAATGATGAAAATTAAAAAGAGAAAGATCCATTGTTATTTGTTTTAACATTTATTAAAATGTTTGTTTTGATATGGAAAAGAAAAACACACAGAGAAGACACAGCCATAAGACACTGCTGACTGGGAGTGAAACATCCCCCCCAGAGCTGAAAACCAGCCATTGGCGGGGGATGGATGGTACAGCATGACTGGGAAGGGCTAAGCTAGATACTGGCCAAAGTCAATGACAGAAAACAGACATCCATCTGCCACAGCTTCCACCCTGAGGGTTAGCTCCTAAATATGGAAGAGGAAGGGGAGGAGCAGAGGGAGGGGGAGGACGAGGGAGAGGAGGAAGAAGAGGAGGAGGAGGAGAAAGGAGGTGGAGGAGGGAGAGAAGGGAGAAAAGGAGCGAGAGGAGAGAGAGGAGAGGGAGGAGAAGGAGGAGGGGGAGGATGGAGGAGGAGTGAGAGGGGAGGAGAGAGGGGAAGGAGGAGAGACAGAAGGGGGAAGAAGGAGGGGGAGAAGAGGGAGGGGGAGTAGGAAAGGGAGGAGGAAAAAGGAGGAGGAAGAGGGGAAATAGGAGAGAGAGGAGAGGGAGGGGGAGGAGGGAGAGGAGAAGGAACAGAAGAGGGGGGGAGAGAAGGGGGGAAGGAAGGGAGGGGGAGGGACAGGGGAGAAGAGGGAGGGAGAGGGGAGGAGGGGGAGGAAGAAAATCAGTCTAATAGGGAAAGAGGAGACTCAAAAAGAAGGGAGAAAGCAAGGGGCAGGGGGAGGGCAGCCTGAACAGCAGCAGGGATGGCTTGATGTATTCGTCAGACAGAGAGCATTTTGAGGGGGCGCCCGCTTCTGTCCCCTGAATGCCTGTCCCTGGCAGCCGACTTTGCCCTCACAGACATTGACATCGGGCTTCAAGGGTGGCAGAGCCGCTCTCCCTGGGAAAGGCTGCCACTGTGATCCCGGTGCATCCTGGCACAAGGGCCATGAGTCGTGGGGGGGCCTCCAAGCCTGCCCTCTGATCCAGCTCTGCACAGGCCTCTCTCCCACTGAGCCCCTAGGCTTGAAAGATATGAGGCCAGGGGGCTGGTTGCTGCGTCTAGCGGAGGCAGCACCAGCGAGGGTTAGCTGGAGGTCAGTCCAAGAGCTACCGGGAAAGGTTGCAAACCCCAAAGAAGCAAACAAGTGTGTCCGGTCCCCCCCATGCCTTACCATTCATAACAGCTGGAAATTGAGCCATCATGGTCCCGGTGTTGCCTCAAAGCTTTTGGCCATCTGCAACATGAACAAACACATGGTTCAGGCATCAATAATGACCAATGCCAGGAGGTAGGTCCCCCCTTTATACCCTACTTGGGGCAGGGGCAGGGACAGGCTTGAGATCCTGCTAAACAGGCAAGATTTAAACTAGAGGGTGGAGGGGGTGGCAGAGGATTCTGACAGCAATAGAAAGAATGAGCTTAAAGAGAAGCCAGGATTTGCTCACAATGAATACTCGGAAAGGTGCAAAATGTCTACAGACAGCTACGTGTCTGGATCTGGCATGCTGGAGCTGTGGTCCAGATGGACAAAGCCAAAGGTCCCCTCTGGCTTGGACAGAATCCCAGAGGAGCCAGAATGCCCCAAAGAAGAGTCCCGTACTGCTGCCGGCCCTCCTGGCACCATCCCTCCATCCACCAACAAGCATATCGATCGTGCACATTGATTACACTGCTGGGTGCTGGGGAGACCAACGACATTCTCCCTGCCCTATCTAAAATGTCAGCTAAATCTATAGGAAATAAACAGCAGGTCATTTTGGTAGGGAGCAAGGCAGGGAGAGAATTAGGAAACACCGAATGCGGGAGGCACTGGGCTGAATATTAAAAGAAACAAAGGACTGTGAGAGGCAGAAGTGAGGGTCAAGAGCACCCTAGGCTCAGGAGACAACGAATGCTGAGGCAGAGACGTGGGGCCAGGTCAGGACAACAGAGGACTTTCTATCGAATGTGGAGGGAGTAGAGCCCTAAGGAGGGGGGCTAGTTGGGGGAGGGGAGAAAAGGGGAGGAAGAGGCTGGGGGAATAGTTCATGCAAGAGGTCCCCAGGGCCTGCACCAGCATGGCTGAGGGAAGAGCGTTAGACAGATGAGAGGAAAGGCTGGCAGAATGACTGGCCCAGTGGGGTCAGACTGGAGGGAAGAAGGAAGTCGGGATGAGAAGAGAAGGTAGCCAGACCTGCTCCTCAGGTCCGACGCACTGTCCCATCCAGGAGAAGCTGAGGTGGGGCTCTTTCCTGCTCCCCAGTCACTGCCCCAGTCTGGAGCACTGGCCTGCTGAAGCTGTGGTGACTTACAGCTCCTGTAAGGAGGCTTTCATCCCCAGGGACCTGGCTATAAATACTTTTGGAATGATGTGAACCATTGATAAGGCCGCTGAGCATTCCTGCTCAGTTACGGCATAACTTGTCTGGAGAAGCCAATCTTGGTCTCCTGAGGGAATGGGGGTGGGACAGGTGGAAGCTAGCACAGTCCAGGGACAGGGCAGAGTGGGAGGGTGTGGGGAGGTACGGTGGGCGTGACACTGTTGGACAAGCTCCAAGCCAGCTTATCATGGAGCCCATGGCAATACTGTCTATCTTCCCATCCTCTGACATCCTTTGGGATCCTCCCCCAACTCCCACTTTGGAGACCAAGGCCTCAGAGGTTTCTTACTCTTCCCTTAAGACACATAAGTCACATAAAGTTAGAGGACAATCACTCAGGTCGCACACCAAAGAGAATGTGATGAGTTCTTTCTCTCATGACATCAAACTCCATGATGGATTGAAATGAGAGACAGCCACAAGCTTACAATGACTGTCTATTTATGAGGATCATGGGTTCTTACAACTCAAGCCAGAAGAGATGGAGAAACTGAGGCCCAGGGAGGTTAAGTCACTTGCCCAAGGTCACATAGATGCTATGGGAGAAACAGAGTTTATATGTCCTGTAGGCAATATTCAATCACAGAAGCCAGTCCCTATTTGATTACTCAGGATAACAATGGATAATCTGGGTAGATTTGGTATAGTCATTACCTATTTTGCATGCATTGCCAATTTTCTCTGATCTCATAATGATGTTGACAAGGCTCTGTGTCTCTCTAAAGGATGAGAGCTGGCCCCAGACCAAATGTGCATTCCCCAAACTCAGACAAAGAGCCAGAGAACTAGAGACAGCTTCATTTCAATAGCTGAGTGTGGAGAATGCTTCTAAACTTAGCAGTTGTGAACAGCAGCTATCTTACCAAACTCTCAATCTGTTCACATTAAAAGAGGGGGAAAAAGACCCTTGGGCAGGAATGAAGAACTTTTTTCCTAATGACACACATACCTACAAAAAGCGATGTCCTTAGAATTTAAGATGAAGAAGTAAAGGTCATCATTTTAAATTCCCTACCCCCTCCAAATTGATTTTACTGTACTTCAACTTGATTTTACAAGCAGCACAGAGGGAATAACTTCCTTGCCTAACAAAGAAGAGAAGAGAGAAGGATGACACCGGGGGGCATGTGGGAGCCCTTCTTGTCCTGGTAACCCCCTGCAGAGCTATCCAAGTGAAGAGACTTGGCATGGCCTTGCCCTCAGGATCTCAGACAAAAAGGCCTTTGCCTACTAGAGGCATGAGGTCAACCTTTTTAGACCTCACGCCCTTGCAAAGGACATGGTGGAAAAATGAAGGTTTCTTTCATATTGAGTTGAACTGAATGTTGAATTTTGAAATTCTAAGCCTCCTGTGCATGTGGGCTTTTAGTCTTGGAAATCTTCGGAGATCCCCAAAAGCTGGATGGGATCAGACACTTGTTCATTTCTTCTTCTGTTTCCCCAATACTCTGCAGACCTAAAGAGGCCTTTGTTAGATCCTTCAAAGTTTCCAGTGTCTTCATCTTTGTTCCTGCGGGGCTGTGGCTGATGGTCCCTAACGTACAATCACTCCTTTTCATGCTACCCCAGGTCACATCGAGATCAACCTGAAGGCTCTATCATGGATGTCCCCATCCTCAGTAAGATGAGGCCAAGGAAGGCAAGGCAGGCAGTGAGTTCCATAAGTAGGTGCTAGAGTGAATTAGCCTTGGCAGCAGTGTGCTCAAGGGCCTCCCATTTTAATGGGGAGATAAGGAATAACCAGGCAAGCCACTATGTCCATACAAGGCATATACAGTGTATAATGTCTCAACGTAACTGGGACCTACCACATGTGAGGCACTAACGGTTGGGGCTGGAAAAGGCTTGCTGGTGATGCCATAAGCAAATTAGGAGAGCATGGAATAGTTTACCTGTCAGTATGAATAAGGGAAGAATTTAGGACCAAACAAGAGATAGAGAGCATTATGAAATGTAAAATGGATCATTTTGATTACATAAAATTAAAAATTCTGCACAAAGAAAACCAATGCAACCAAAAGTAGAAGGAAAGGAGAAAACTTGGGAAAATTTCTTTACAGCAAATATCTCTGATAAAGGTCTCATTTCTCAAATATATAGAGAACTGAGTCATTCCTCAATTGATAAATGGTCAAAGGATACGGATAGGTAGTTTTCAGACAAAGACAGCAAAGTTATCTATAGTCATATGAAAAAAATGCTCTAAATCATTATTGAATAGAGAAATGCAGATTAAAACAACTCTGAGGTATCACGTCATACCTATCAGATTGGTTGATATTACAAAAAAAGGAAATGTTGGATGTGGATAAACTGGGATACTAGTGCACTCTTGGTGGAGTTGTGAACTGATCCAACCATTCTGGAGAACATTTTGGAACCATGCCCAAAGGGCTATAAAACTTTGCACCTTTGATCTAGCAATACCACTGACAGGCCTGTATCCCAAAGACATTCAAAAAAAGAGAAAAGGACCTGTTTGTACAAAAATATTTACAGCAGCTCTTTTTACAGTAGCTAAGAATTGGAAACTGAGGAGGTGCCCATTAATAGGGGAATGGCTGAACAAGCTGTGGTATATGAATGTAATGGAATATTATTGTGCTATAAGAAACAAGCAGGATGATTTCAGAAAGACCAGGAAAGAATTACATGAACTGATATAAAGAGAAGTGAGCAGAACCAGAAGAACATCATGGACAATGATGGACAATGGCCATATTGTTCAATAAAGAATCGTGAATAGCTTAGTTCTTCTCAGCAATACAATGATCCAAGAAAATCCCAAAGGACTCATGATGAAAAATGCTACCCATCCCCAGAGAAAGAACTGATGTTGTCTGAATATAGACTGAAGCATACTATTTTTCACTTTCTTTCTTTCTTTTTCTGTTTGAGTTTTCTTACACAAAATAACTAATATGGAAATGCTTTACATGATTGCACATGCATAACCTGTATCAGATTGCTTACTGTCTCAGGGAAAGGGGAAAAAAGAGAGGGAGGAGGGGATAGAATTTGGAACTTAAAACTTTAAAAAAAAAAAGAATGTAAAAAATTGTTTTTACATGTTATTGGGGGGAAAGTAAAATATTATTTAAGCAAAGAAAATTCATTAAATCAACTCCATCACCGGTCCAGGAAAAAGAAAAGGCCTGTTGGGGGAGATGGGATTTAAGCCCAGTCCCGAAGGAGACTAGGCGCGCAAGCATGAAAAGGGAAGAAGGAGAGCATTGCCAGGATAAAGGCAAGGAAAGGGAGATGGGAGTGTCAGGAGGCCAGTGTCACCAAGTCACAGAGTAGGAAGAGAGGAGTCCAGTGTAAGAACAGGGAAAAGCAGGAAAGGGCCAAGCTGGTGAGGATGCTCTATCTGCTCCTAGAGGTGAGAGGGAGCCTCTGCAGCTGACTGTGGTGGTGGTGATGATGGAGGGGGTGGGGTGACATGACCAGACCTGTATCCATCTTTATCTGAACATCCATTCATCTGCCTATTCATCTATCTATAATTGACTTAAACCTCGAAGAGTAAAAGCCATGCCTCAACTGATAAATGGTCAAAGGATATGAATAGGCAGTTTTCAGAGGAAGAGATCCACACTATCAACAAACCTATAAAAGATGCTTTAATTCACTAATGATTAGAAAAACACAAATTAAAAAATTCTGAAGTATCACCTCAGCAGCATCAGATTAGCAAGGCTGACCAGAGAGGAAATGACAACTGCTGGAGAGGCTGTGGGAAAACAGGCACATTAATTGCACTGCTGGTGGAGCTGTGAACTGGCCTGGACAATCAAGAAAACAGTGTGGAACTCAGCCCAAATTGTGCATACCCTTTGACCCAGTGACACTGCTATGGGACCCCTACCCCAAA